AAATCAGCAAAGACCCATCGAAACAACATCTGATACACAAATTTAATAATACTTTTAGATATTTGGATGATATTTTGGCTCTCAATAATGACGACTTCAGTATGTATACTAAAGAAATTTATCCTGTTGAACTTACTTCAAATAAAGCTAATACTAACAATGACCACTGCCCTTTCCTCGATCTTGATATCTATATCATTAACGGAAAGCTTAATACTAAAATATATGATAAAAGAGATGATTTTTCATTTCCTATCGTTAATTATCCATTTTTAGATGGTGACGTTCCCTTGTCACCATCTTACGGTGTTTATATATCTCAACTTGTACGATTCGCTCGTGTATGTAACAATGTTTTAGATTTTAACGAGAGAAATTTATGTATTACTGAAAAATTATTACACCAGGGTTTTCGATATCACAAACTAGTCAAAACATTTACTAAATTTTATCATCGGTATAAGGACATCATTCGTAAATATAGCTCAACATGCAGACTTCTTATACGTTCAGGTATTTCACATCCAATTTTTTATGGAAATATTCTTTATAAAGCACAAAAATGTCAGTATTCACCTCTGAAGCTAACAAAACCTTTAAATAGACTTATTAAGAAGGGATATAGTTACGATACTGTTGTCAGGTCATTAAAGATTGCATATTTTGGCGTTAATATTGATTCACTTATAGGGTCTTTGCATCGGCACTAAACACATTTATTTAAAAACCAGTTGTTGGCATGACACGGGTTATGTTCTTCTCATACATGTTATGATGGTATGATACTAAACCCCTAACGGGAAGGATTGTGCCTGATATTCATATGATGAAGACATAATCTTTCAATCAGTTTAATTGAAGTCTGGAGCTGGCATGTCAGTTAACTGCTAGTAGTCTGTTGTTATTTATGTATTATTGTCATTTTGTTTATTTTCTTTGGTTACATCTTCTGACATCAGACTCGGACTTCTCTTGAACTGAATTTTAATGTGCGTATTGTTATGCGTTTACTTTTCTACATTGGCTAGAGGTATAGGGGGAGGGTTGAGATCTCATAAACATGTTAAACCCCGCCGCATTTTTGCGCCTGTCCCAAGTCAGGAGCCTCTAGCCTTTGTCAGTCTTGTATTATTTTTAATTTTAGTTTCTTGTGTACAATTTGGAGTTTAGTATGGCGTTCATTATCACTGAACTAGTATATATATTTGTTTAGGGGCCAGCTGAAGGACGCCTCCGGGTGCGGGAATTTCTCGCTGCATTGAAGACCTGTTGGTGACCTTCTGCTGTTGTCTGTTCTATGGTCGGGTTGTTGTCTCTTTGACACATTCCCCATTTCCATTCTCAATTTTATTAAACAATTTAAACGAGAAACCCTGATTTCTGTACAAAACTGTTAACGAAAAACAAATATGATAGACAGCAACGAACGACAACCACTGAATTATAGACTCATGACTTCAGTGGGAAATCTAGTGACAAAACATTACCTGAAAACAAGATCTTCTCAATGTTTGTCCCATTTTAGAAAGGACGCTATCAATTATGGATTCACGGAAAAACGTTCTGGTAAATAGTAAAAATTGAAATAAATTGAAATATAAACAAAACTTCTACTCAATGTTATCATTTTACTCCTTGAGTAGCAAACGACGAGTACAGCAGACTATAGATGCTTGGAGTAGAATTAATTTAAAATGTTGTTATGCGAATAAATTCCTGGAGTACCAACTTCAATTTATTTTTTTACTGTCTGTATACCTCTCTGGAACATGCTAATTTTTCGTATATATATACAGCTAGATCAGAGAAAGTCAGGGAAAAAAAGGAATCGATTGATATGCAGCAAAGATTGGCACTTTTGAAATAAAGTTACTAAGCAAAATCAAACAGACCTTATCTCGATGTAAACATTGAATGTGAATAAACGAGAAGACCGCAAATGCTTGTACAATACTCGAGACGACCTTTTTCTTAGAATTGTATACAAAATAGTAGAAAGATACCTACTTTACAAAAATAGTTATCTTTAATTTTTTAACTTGCACTGACAGACTTTTAAATGTTTATATTCACGAAAAGACAATAGTTCTTTATTGAATGTACATGTGACAAGAGCAGACCGGTGTGCTCGATAACTTAGGTGTGAAAAAATAAGCATACTTTGGGAAATTGTAACATGCTAAGGACCTTTTGGAACACTCAGAAAATTGGTGACCCGAAAGATCTTTCGATTTTGTATGTACATGATTTTTTACATTTTTTTTATCGCAGAAAGCTCGACATAGGGATAGTGATCCGGCGGCGGCGGCGTTAGCTTACTTCTTAAAAGCTTTATATTTTAGAAGGTGGAAGAACTGGATGCTTCATACTTTGTATATGGATGCCTCATATTACGAAGTTTCCGTCAGTCACATGTCCAATGTCCTTGACCTCATTTTCATGGTTCAGTGACTACTTGAAAAAAAATTTAACATTTTTTGTAATGTTAAATTCTCTCTTATTATAAGTAGTAGGATAACTATATTTGGTATGTGCGTACCTTGCAACGTCCTTATGCCCGTCAGACAGTTTTCACTTGACTTCGACCTCATTTCATGGATCAGTGAACAAGGTTAAGTTTTGGTGGTCAAGTCCATATCTCAGATACTATAAGCAATAGGTCTAGTAAATTCGGTGTCTGGAAGGACTGTAAGGTGTACATGTCCAACTGGCAGGTGTCATCTGACCTTGACCTCATTTTCATGGTTCAGTGGTTATAGTTAAGTTTTTATGTTTTGGTCTGTTTTTCTTATACTGAATTCAATAGGTCTACTATATTTGGTGTATGGAATGATTGTAAGGTGTACATGTCTAGCTGGCAGGTGTCATCTGACCTTGACCTCGTTTTCATGGTTCAGTGGTCAAAGTTAAGTTTTTGAGTTTTGGTCTTTTTTTCTAAAACTATATGCCATAGGTCAACTATATTTGGTGTATGGAAATATTTTATGATCTCTATGTCAGTCATGCAGGTTTTATATGACCTTGACCTCATTTTCACGGTTCATTGCTCAGTGTTAAGTTTTTGTGTTTTGGTATGTTTTTCTTAAACTATAAGCAATAGGTCAACTATATTTGTTATATGGAAGAATTGTTAACTGTACATGTCTGCCTGGCACGGTTCATCTGACCTTGACCTCATTTTCATGGTTCATTGGTCAATGTTTAGTTTTCTTGGTTAATGTTAAGTTTAGGTGACAGTTATAATAAAGCTTTATATTTAGGACTATCAACATAATATCAATGATTGGTAAAGAAGGCGAGACATTTCAGCGTGTGCACTCTTGTTAAATTTCAGTTTCACAAGCTTCTAAAGCAATTATATCGATAAATACTGAACATAAAACATCGTGTATTTGCATGAATATTTTTGTTCACACAGTTTAACAAATAATTTCTTTAAAATGTATACAACTATTATTTAGAAATAACTTTTGATCAGTATCGTCACCGGTATTATTTTATTAATGACTTTCTCGACTCTATCATAAGAAGAGTGAATTTTCTTTTGTTTTCGTTCACTGGATATCCCACTGACTTGGGACAAGGTACATACAGAAGTAGTGGCGAGTTAGATTTAATCACGAGCGCTTAACCCTTCCATAACCTGGGACAGTTGTGTAACAGTACAATTTAAGAAACAAAAACTGTAAACATTGGTTTTAAAAGGCTGGACTCATCAGATCGACACAAAGCACAAAAAACTAACAAAAAGACTAAAGACACAAAGTACCGATCAAAGAGTACTCGTTGTAACTGAAAGCTAGTCAAAGCCAACTACAGCTAATAAATAGATCATGCTTTCCAGACTAAAATATCAATCAGTAGATATACAATGAATTTAGTGCAAAGATGTCACAAAAATTCAAAGAAAAACATGACCTTGTGCAATGCCAACAGATAAATGACAGACAAAATATACCAAAGGGACATTCAAACTCACAAGTCGAAAATAAACTGACAGTGCCATGGCTAAAAAAGAAAAAGACCAACAACAGTATACAAAACACAACATAGAAAACTAAAGACTGGTATCGACAGGGTGTTTTTTCATTACACAGACATACCTGTTTAGTTATGCCATGGAAGTATTATATTGACAATATTTACTGATAACAAAATCAATGTTAGTCCCGATAAAACAATATTCAAAGATAGATCTTATTACAATGTTAGTCCCGATAAAACAATATTCAAAGATAGATCTTATTACAATGTTAGTCCCGATAAAACAATATTCAAAGATAGATCTTATTACAATGTTAAATTGATAACCTTTAAGAATAAGTTTATTCAAAGGATCTATAAGTTTATTCAAAGGATCGATAAGTTTATTCAAAGGATCTATAAGTTTATTCAAAGGATCGATAAGTTTATTCAAAGGATCGATAAGTTTAACAATGCCCGTTTGTAAGACGAAAGTTCAATCGATTATCCATACTCAATTTAATTCGCTAACCAAGGGCGTGTTTTATTGGTCTTTTCTATACATCTCCAGAATGTCGTCTGGTGAAGAGTAAATAAATGAATCTGGATCTCTTCTCGAGATATTCTGTAGAAGAAGCAATAAAACACAAATTCAATTTTGCCGTCGAATATAGCAGATATAGTAGATACAAACACAAATACAGCAGAATGGCACGAACTCTCTAAAAATGATTGATTTATTGATTGGTGTTAAACGCCACTTTCAGCACTATTGTGATATTTCGTGGCGGTCAGTTGTTTTTGATGGAGGAAGCCGGAGTGCCTAGAGAGAACCACCGACCTTCGGTATAGGAAAACTGACAATTCTGATCAATTACGATTAGAGTCGAGCGCACATGCCACGTGCGGGATTCAAACTCACAACTTGAGTCTTGACAGGCTAGTGATACACCGAGGCCCCCTATAAAAATGAGACCTGGTGTGACAGCTTATATGCATCTCATGTCAAGGATGAAAAATAAAATACAGAAAGAGAGGTGATTAATGAACGATTTAATGATATGATTATTTTTCTACAAATGCATTTATAACCCTAGATTTATTCTTCATTAACCAGACACCAGCTCCAATTGCTAGACCTAGAACAACTACATATGGTACGGCTGCTTTCGCAGCATTCCACAATATCATTGTAAAAGCCGTTTTCACATCGGCTCTCAACATCTGTACAGATTTTCTCTGTCCAATTCTCTGTAGGTAATCATACAACAATGGCCTCTTTGTTTTACAGAAATATCTATCTTCAAGTCCCAACATAACAATTCTGTCCATGAACACAACCAGTAAAATATCAGCTGCATTGAACTGTGTTCCTGTCAACCAGTACTCTTCTCCACCCGAAGACTCTGTTAAAAACAAAATGGAGATGATCATTTGGGAATGTTTAATTTCAAGTAGACATGTCTGTATAACAATATTCAGGACGTCATGACCTTTGTAGTGTTTCTGTACGAATAAATTCAATTGTGTTATAAGAATAAAAATGGGATTAGAAAATAACTCTCCATTTCTGAAAAATAATGGAGAGTTTGAACAAAAGATTTACGTCACATGTGTATTTTAAATTAAAGAACCTTAGTGAGCACGCTCACATACCCCACGTCCCCACATTGTCACTGGAGAAATAAAATAACTAAGAAAAAAAAATTGTATAAGAAAAAAAATTGAATCATAATTTCCTGTCGATATGCACATCTACCTAGTATGTCCTTATTATCTACAAAGTTTCATGACATTCTGTTGTGTGGTTTCAGAGGAGTTGCGATGACAAACTGTTTCAGAGGTATATTGAAGCAAATAAGTTCAAAGGGGCGTAACTCCTAGAAAAAAATTGAATCGTAATTTCCTGTCGATATGCACATCTACGTAGTATGTCCTTATTACCTGAAAAGGTTTCATGAAATTCTGTTGTGTGGTTTGAGAGGAGTTGCGATGACAAAAGGTTGCAGTAGTGTATTGGGCAAATAATTTCAAAGGGGTGTAACTCCTGGAAAAAAAATTGAATCGTAATTTCCTGTCGATATGCACATCTACGTAGTATGTCCTTATTATCTACAAAGTTTCATGAAATTTTGTTGTGTGGTTTCAGAGAAGTTGAGATAACAAACTGTTGCAGTAGTACATTAAAGTAAATAAGTTCAAAGGGGCGTAACTCCTAGAAAAAAAATTGAATCGTAATTTCCTGTCGATATGCACAACTACATAGTATGTCCTTATTATCTAAAAAGGTTTCGTGAAATTCTGTTGTGTGGTTTGAGAGGAGTTGCGATGACAAGAAACAGGACTGACGGACGGACGGGTCAAAAACATTATACCCTCCGCAACTCGTTGCGTGGGGTATAAAAACGGATAAAGCAACATTTGAGAGAAGGTATAGGAGGATCGATCGAGGGCTTACAATCATTTAAACCGGTCCGCCATTCCATCTAAGCGATATAATTAAGTTAACACAACAGGTGTCCAGTTTAAGAATCATTTCCACGAAGAAAGAGGTGTTCCGACCACAGAAGACTGCTTTATCAACCTTTCAAAAACGCATTGTCTTATGGATTATTTAATTCCAGTCTTGGTGATTATCTGATGGTCAAGCTAGTTTCTTTTTCAAAGGTTACTTCAATCTACTAAAATTCAACTTATCACGACAATCTGTGGTAAAGGTCACAGGATATACAAGTACTAACAGGATGTTCAATCACATTTCAGTTTAACTGAAACTCTAGGAACAATAATAATAGAGGAGGGTCTGGATGAGGGTCCTTGATTTCTGTATTCTCTGGTATATATTTGGGCATTTTTCTTTTTCTTTAAAAATAATGCTTATTCTGTAAAATTGTCATGAAAATGATATTACTATTAAATCTTTCTGTAATTAGATGATTTATTGTGTACATCGTACATTTCTGTAATTAGATGATTTATTGTGTACATCGTACATTTCTGTAATTAGATGATTTATTGTGTACATCGTACATTTCTGTAACTAGATGATTTATTGTGTACATCGTACATTTCTGTAATTAGATGATGTATTGTGTACATCGTACATTTCTGTAAATAGATGATGTATTGTATACATCGTACATTTCTGTAATTAGATGATTTATTGTGTACATCGTACATTTCTGTAATTAGATGATTTATTGTGTACATCGTACATTTCTGTAATTAGATGATTTATTGTGTACATCGTACATTTCTGTAACTAGATGATTTATTGTGTACATCGTACATTTCTGTAATTAGATGATGTATTGTGTACATCGTACATTTCTGTAAATAGATGATTTATTGTATACATCGTACATTTCTGTAATTAGATGATTTATTGTGTACATCGTACATTTCTGTAATTAGATGATTTATTGTGTACATCGTACATTTCTGTAATCAGTACTATAGTACCTTATTCTTTCATTTTTCTCTATTTTTTATTCTTGTGTACCCCATTATTCTGTATTCTTTATTCTTTTGTACCCCATTATTCTCTATTCTTTATTCTTTTGTACCCCATTATTCTCTATTTTTTATTCTTGTGTACCCCATTATCCTCTATTCTTTATTCTTTTGTACCACATTATTCTCTATTCTTTATATTTTTTGATCATTTTTCTCTATTCATTTTTTTGGGGCCATTATTCTCTATCCTGTAAACCCAAACCAGACCCTCATAGAGATGAGACCAAAATAAAAAGTATGCATAAAATTGAGAATGGAAATGGGGAATGTGTCAAAGAGACAACAACCCGACCATAGAACAGACAACAGCAGAAGGTCACCAACAGGTCTTCAATGCAGCGAGAAATTCCCGCACCCGGAGGCGTCCTTCAGATGGCCCCTAAACAAATATATATACTAGTTCAGTGATAATGAACGCCATACTAAACTCCAAATTGTACACAAGAAACTAAAATTAAAAATAATACAAGACTAACAAAGGCTAAGAGGCTCCTGACTTGGGACAGGCGCAAAAATGCGGCGGGGTTAAACATGTTTATGAGATCTCAACCCTCCCCCTATACCTCTAGCCAATGTAGAAAAGTAAACGCATAAGCTTACTCTCAACTGACCCTTACCTTTACTTCTTCTTAAACATTCCTCTAAATATTCACATCTGTGTTCAGTGTCTTCTAAATGTTCTATTACATTCTCTTTGTTCTTAGTGTCTTCATAAAACTTTTTCGTCTTTTGGTATTTTGCGATGTAGCTATCGCGTAAATCTGGATATTTCTGTGCAGCTTCTTCCAAGCTAGCAACATTTTCCTGCGTTTTTTCTATAATGATTAAATCAATGACTTATTTCAATTCTTTTGATAACTTTCCTCTTTCTAGAACAATCATTTATGCTTCGTGTTGATCTTATGAGTCAAGCAATTTCCAACTGATTTTACAGATTGTTCTTGTGTTGTAATTTTACACCAGTGTCCCAGTTTAAGGGGAGGATTAAGCGCTCACAAAGATGTAGTTCCTTAAATCGAGCTTCATTTTAACCCTGTTAGATAGTTGGCTCATTGGCAATTATACTACATTTGTATATTCATAAAAAAAAGCATAGATAAATATGAATATAAAGTAATATGGTATACATGTTTATATACAAAATGTATATACAATGTAATGATAAAGATAAAGTTTTAGTTTTTTTCATGGTAACCGTTTTATATTTAATATTTTGTATTTTTAAAATTTGAATTTCGAGCATAAAAAAAAACGAATTTTCGACAAAGTTACATAAAGGACTACTATAAACATAAATAATTGATGGCCATTTTCGTAAATTGTTTTGCAACTCCTTCTACATGTTGTATCTTGACCACAATTAATCATCATGATTGTTCTTAAAAAATGGATGCTATATTCTATCCTGAAAAAAAGTGAAATTCCTTTTTTCACAGAAAAATAATTTCAGATTAATTTTCACATTCAACGAAAACGATATCACTCACTAGCTCTTACAGACGTTTCAGTTAAACTTTAAAGGACAATGCAAAATGTAGCTGCTCGCATGGTCGTTTTGCTGCATTGTTATGAATACACGTAAACTATTTTCAATTGTTTTTCTGATAATATTGAAGATGATTGCATTTACTTTTTAATTGGTTTGCTCATAATTTTAAAGATTATTGTATTTCTTTTCTATATTTTGCTGATAATTTTGAAGATTATTGCATTTCTTTTCAATTTTACACACCCAATTTATATTCGAACACTAAAGAAATAATTTACCTTTAAACCGTTTAACGTTGATAATCATTTTTGGTAGTTTAACACCACTGGTAGACAACTCTGGATTGAACAGCAGTCCATAGGTAATTATTTCGATTCGGATTGCATCAATGAACTCACGTAATCGTTTTACCTCCTTTCCAACTGATGTGCTAGGATCAGGTACCAATGTCGGTCCTGGACATAAAATGATGCCAGATTAGAGTATATTTTGCCGATTTGGAAAGCAAAGGGCGTATAAATGCACGAAGAGATAATTAAAAAAATATCTTGAATAAAAAAAAAAACAACAGAGGAATATCATCATAGATACCTAGGGAGCAATATAAAAAACCTCGAGTCAAATAAAAACAGACAACACCATGGCCAAAAAGAAAAACAATAAGATATACAAAAGTCAACAAAACACTACAAAGAAAACTAAAGATTAAGCAACAAGGACTGAACAAACAAAAAAACGTGAATAAACTCAGGTGATACGGAAGAATCGTCAGTTTTTGCTCCACTAGTGACACCCGCCGCGTTATATATACACCTGTTAAATTATATTGATGAGTCATATCCGGTGATTGGGCATCAAAATTTTCCAAGTTCATATGCCTGAGAAAGTTGTGACCCCAGTCAATATACAAAATTTATCAGGTAAGATATCATTAAAACGTTCGCGACGATTTTCTATTTCCAAAGTGTGAAAAACTGAAAGAATTATTCATTATTACTTGCTTTTTTGCTTTATTATGCAGATGTGATATATGATCAAATATGTGACAGTTCCCCTCTAAAAATAGAAAAGAATCGAAAAATTTAGAAAATGAAAGAGATTCTTCTAGTTGGCAGAAGTTTTATTTCGAAATCCCATAACTGCACCTGGTGTAAATAAATATGTTTTTACCAGATTTAACTTGATCATCAACGTAGTCAATTATTTTCTCTGACTCTACCACAATTTTCTCTCCATCTTTTAATAAGGGAACAAGTCCATGTGGGTTCATTTTCATGTACTCTGGTGTTTTTTGTTCCCCATTTTGAATATTTATTATCTTTCGGTTGAATGGACATCCTTTCTCGAACAAAGCTAATGTTGCCTGTAACAAAAACCAAATATGATAACATGCACAAGCGTCGGGTTGTACTTTACATGTAAGATTATGTATGTCTGAATGTAAGTGTAACAAGTTTGAGCTTTCTAAAAAGCTGTGAACTGCTTCGCTCTTTCCTAATTTAAGGTAATATGTGTGCATGTGGTTGTTGATTTAGTATGTGGTAATTTCAGATATTGATTGATATAAAATGGATGTCTTAGACTTGGAATATCAATTTTTGTATATATATTAAGACGAACTTTTCTGAAATTTTAAACTGGCTGTTCAGTGTTTAGTTGTCAATGTGTTTTTGTGGAGTGTGGTTTTCTAGTTCTGTCAGCTGGTCATTGACCTGCGATTTTGATTGCTAGTTCTGTATATAAATTATTTAGATATATATGAATGTTTAGGTATGTTGATTAAGAGTAACATGATTTCGAGTGATGAAGACAATAACAATTTTAATAAACCAAGGAGTAAACAAAGACTTGTACAACCAAAAGATATTTACAACAGTTTAAATAAATAAGAAACAGCAATAAATATTTAGTTTCAGTGAAACTGATGTTGTTCTACTTTAAGAGTGTGCGTTATACACCAATGCTTTTTAGATTTTGTTCACTTTACTTGAAAATTAAAACATTTAAAAATACACACGACTCTGGAGGTGTGCCTCTCTGGGGTGTACCTAGATTGGCAGAAGTTATAAAATACAGATAATAATGTATTTTTGTATACATTGTATAGGAACATTGCTAAGCAAAACAAATCGTGCATATTGCAGATTAAGAAAGCATATAAACACGTATTAATAATTGATGTCACAATATTGACAATATATGCATAATAAAACGAACATGAATTAATGGCAGTTGATCGGAACTGAAATACACATAGTTAATTTTCCGGCATTTGATGTCTTATCCTGAGACGAGAAAAGTCTGTAATTCTTTATCTCATTTAAGCCAATATCTGTTGCTGTATCTCAGCTACATTTTAAAGCAACCAATCAGAATCTATAAGTATTTATTTCAAGATCAGTGGCGTGTATATCGAATGAAACTAAAAGCTCTGCCCCGTGATGCGAAGCAATGATGCGAAGCAATCAATTATTGCGGATAAGCGAAATAGTACTATTCTTTCTTCCGGCAACGGGTTTTGGCCGGACCGATGTTTGAACTTTCTGTGTCATTATGGCAACACTTCATGCACCGTGTCAAACGCCATACACCACTGGACCGGCCAACAAAACGCTCTATACAAGTACACATTTCGTTTTAATGAATATTTGACCTGCATTCAAGTATATCCTACATCAAAAACATGTATAATGTGTACAGTAGGGACTCGGGAGTAAGAGTTTTATATATTTTTTTTTAGAAATGCACGCCGGTAAACGATAACGGGCTATACAAAGCCATGAATGATACCTGGCTTATAATTTGTTACGCCAGACGCCCGTTTCTTCTACATAAGACTCATAAGTGGCACTAGAATTAAAAAAAAAGGCGAAGAGCATTGCAAGCCTATAATCTAAAAAGTTGTGCCAAACACGGTTATATTATAAATCTGACCTTAAGACAAAAAAAAAACACGACCTCAATCTCGATCATTAAAATACAGTACCTGTGTCCAAACTTCACTTACAATACAACAATCCAATTGTCTTTCTCTTTTGAAAAAATAGAGAAAAATAGGTCAAAAAATTAGAATAGAGAATAATGAAGTGCTTTTAAAAAGGTAAAGACTAGAGAATAATGAGCAACATTAATAACAAGTAAACAAAATCTAACTGGAATAGAATTGGAGGACCCCATCTAGACCCTCATATAGTAGACTGGAATCATCTAGAAGTGGTCAGTGCCACAATCTGTGGAACCTTCATATATACTCTGGAAGGGATTTCGACTATAGAAAGCGTATTCATCACCGTTTAAAAAAAGCCAATGTGGTTTCTTCAAGTGACTTATCATTTTTTACCTGGTAGGGGGAGGGGGGCTGGTCAAAATGTAGGGGGATCAAGTTTTTTTTTCTGTAAGTGGAAAAGAGGGTTCAAATTTTTTTATAAATTCAAAGTGGGTGGATCAATTTTATCTCTAATGAAACATTTGTGAACTTTTGAATCTTCAAGTATCCTACATATCATGTGTGTCAAAGGTAAATGTTTTGCATGTTAAAATTTTGGCATGTTTAAGGTTCATCATAACAAACGGACAGATATGGCTGTATTTACAGGCCAAAAACTACTCTTAGTACAGACTTACCTGTCCAGTTAGAAAAGTTTTAATGCCTGGCATCCACTAGATATATAAAAGTTAAATGCATTTTGTGTTTCAGAAAGATAAAATCTCTTTTGGATTTTGATGGTCATTTTTTTTCTTTCATGCAGCTAGAAGGTGTAAAAATTAACTAAGTTGTGATACAACTTTGAGATGCTCCCTCTCAGGTAAAAACTGTATTGTATTGTATTGATTGACCTTGATTGAAAATGGACAACAGGTATCTACACAACTATAGGTGAGTTAAAGGGTTTAACTGAGTGGACAGTATCAAAGTAATTCAGGTGTTTGTTTATTTTTACACCTTCTGCAGAAAGGAAAAAAAAATGCCCATCAAAAACCAAAAAAGATTATATCTTTCTGAAACACAAAATGCATTTAACTTTTATATATCTAGTGGATGCCAGGCCTTAAAACTTTTCCAACTGGACAGGTAAATCTGTACTCAGACGGTAGTTTTTGACGTGTAAAATACAGCCATATTTGTCCGTTTGTTATGATGAACAATGTTAGAGGGGGGATCACATTTTTTAAATGTTGTTAAGGGGGGATAAAATAAAAATAGTGAAATATTATGGGGGGGGGGGGGGGGGGGTCAAGAAAATTTTATATGTTTGATTTCAAAATGACAAGCCCCCTCCCAGGTAAAAAATGATAAGTCCCCAACGTACTGACAGACTATAACAGATACATATATTTATCTTCTGCGAAAAATATAAGAAAATGGAAGTATATTATATATGAAAAAAACCTTAAATATCTTAGCATTATTTGTTGATATTTACCTTCTGTGAATAGTAGGAAGCTTGAAAGTAATATAATGTTAATTTGTTGTCAGACATCTTGAATTGGTGTAATTCGAAGTCAGAAAGTAGGACATTATTGTACAATGAAGGTAAATACAGATCAATACAGTACGTAAAGTATGTAAACATTGAAGTTTCTTGCCTTAGGCTTAATGTGATTTAACTATTGAGTTGGACTATACACACACATTTGTGTATAGGTAGTTGTTTTGTTTAAGGAAATACAAAGTTATCCACTTATTTTATCAAGTTGTGCTTCAATTCAGGTGTTTGTTTATTTTTACACCTTCTGCAGAAAGGAAAAAAAATGCCCATCAAAATCCAAAAGTGATTATATCTTTCTGAAACAAAACATGCATTTAACATTTATATATCTAGTGGATGCCAGGCCTTAAAACTTTCCAAACTGGACAGGTAAGCCTGTACACAGAGTAGTTTTTGAGGTGTAAATACAGCCATTTTTGTCCATTTGTTTTGATGAACCTTAAGACTGAGACATCTTTCTGACCCAAGAAACCTCTTTAAAAAGATATCTGACGCACACTTAGACCTATCGCCCATCGACTACTCTACACACATTTGATATTTCTTTCCTTTACATAAGTACATTCTAAGCTAAATGAAGATTGATTGAAATAATTAAATCAACTGTGACTTTGTTTCCTTTAAAAATATAGACTATTAAACGTAAATATACAAATATCTTGTTTTAAAAAGGGACAAAACCACCCTGTTTCAAACAAGAACTTCTGTGAAACTGATACTATAAAGAGACTCGATATTCTTATTGACAGAATATTTGTTACGTTTAGTCAGCGTGATCTTCGACAGCCACGGTTAGCATTCCTATGAGAACCAACTGTTTTCCTTTTCTCCCCGACTTGTTCCTTTGTTTTACGAAGCAGATGTAATACAGGGAAACCTCACGGAGACTCAAATGAAGCTAGCATTATCCTTTAACTATATAGATTTTGTTCTCTAATTGAATAATTCAAAAATTTAGTGATTATATATCAGATACTTTGGGTCCAGGACAAATTTGTTTACCCCCTTTTTTTCTTCTTCTAAAATCCGTTATTATATATATATATATGTATGTATTTATTATATATATATGGTAAAATATACGGTTAATTACATCTAAAATGTATTGTCAATTTTTTTTTATATTTACTAGGTTTAAAAACTAAAAGTCGCCGAGCTAACGATAAAATATTTTTTTCAATTTTTTTTAACACATATAGAAAAGTTTTATTCCTAAATATTTCATATATACAATTACCCTAGTTATCCAGGTAACAGGCTAAGGGTCCCCTTTTCAACCTTGATATTTCCCCTAATGAAACTGACTTTCACGGTGTTGCCTGCGTTGAGACAGAATGTTTTGTGCTGATGCATTGTTATGTAACGACAATTAAACAGCTGTTATGTTGACTACATGTACTTTTCAACAATACCTTATACATACGTACTTAGTATATTTCAACGATTTTTTTAGTGCAAAAATCATCCTGATAATAAGCAAATATGCAAGACAGTTGATTTATACAGAAAATGTGTATAATTGATAGAAAAGACTCATAATATATATTTGGTGGCTGGACTTTGTCCGATAAGCAAAGTTAAGTCCATTTTTTTTACATTTCAGATATTTCCAAGCAGAAAATAATTGACTAGGATTTTCCTTTTCCCCTGCTGAAGATGGGTGGTTATCTCCGGACACTCCGACTTTATCTACAAGTAAAAATGGTCGCTATGATATAGCCAAGATTGCTGAAAGTGGCGTTTGACCCTAACAATCAATTCATCTTAATGCTAAGAATATTACAAAATTAGCTATGGGTTAGTTTTGATTTATGAAATGAACTTTAGAACTTTTTTTACAAACAATTTAACTGAATATTAACAATTGTGCCTTTTAACAAAATTTTGTACATTTTGGGGAAAAAAAGCTGAATGCACTGGTCCGATATCATTGCTAGTGGACTGTTAGTCCCAAAGAATAGCATCAGTCCAGTTATAAAAGCTTCGGTGATTTATAACATATTTTTAGTTCTATAATTCTCCGTTGATAAATAAAACTAAATATAAGAAAGTAAGGTTCCAATCCCTTCAGGCAAAGTTCATCTTAAAGACGAATTTACATCAATTTGGTTATTGTCTCGCCTGCGACAAAAGTCGCAGTATGCGAAACATAGGTAATGCAATGCAACATCGACGGCGTAAACTATTTGTTTAAAGCTTTATATTCCAGAAGGCAGAAGACCTGTGTGCTTCATACTTTGTGTGCAGATACATTGTGTTACGAAGATTCTGTCTGTCATAATTATGTCTATTGTCCTTGACCTCATTTTCATGGTTCAGTGACTTTGAAAAAAAATACATTTTTTTGGTTAAGTGAAATACTCACTTATTATGAGTAATAGGATAACTAAATTTGGTATATAGGTTCCTTGCAAAGTCTACATGTCCGCCAGGTAGGGGTGACCTGACCTCGACCTCATTCCATGGATCAGTAATCAAGGTTAAAGTTACGTGGTCAAGTCCGTATATCAAGATACTCAGGGGGGGGGGGGGGGGGGGGGGGGGGCGCTGACTGACCTAAGGGGGGGCCCCGCTCCAGTCATGCTTCAGTGATTCCCTATATAATCAACCAAATTTTACCTGAAAAGGGGGGGGCCGCCCCCCCCCCCCCCCCCCCCCCTGGATCCGCCTATGATACTTTAAGCAATATGTCAACTATATCTGGTGCATGGAATGATTGTAAGGTGTACATGTCAGACTGGCAGGTTTCATCTGACCTTGATCTCAATTTCATGGTTCATTGGACAATGTTTAGTTTTGGTGGTTTGGTCTATTTCTCAGATACTATAAGCAATTGGACCACTATATTTGGTGTCTGGAATAACTGTAAGGTGTACATAAAATTGAGAATGGAAATGGGGAATATGTCAAAGAGACAACAACACGACCAAAGAGCAGACAACAGCCGAAGGCCACCAATGGGTCTTCAACGCAGCGAGAAAATCCCGCACCAGGAGGTGGTCCTAAGCTGGCCCCTAAATAAAATTGTGTACTAGTTCAGTGAAAATGGACGTCACAATAAACTCCAAAACATATAAATGAACTAAAATTAAAAAAAAACATACAAGACTAACAAAGGCCAGAGGTTCCTGACTTGGGACAGGCGCAAAAATGCGGCGGGGTTAAACATGTTTTGTGAGATCTCAACCCTCCCCTCTAGCCAACGTAGAATAAAGAAACACATAGCAATACGCACAGTAAAACTCAGTTCAAAAGAAGTCCGAGTCCGATGTCAGAATAGGTAACAAAAGAAACTAAGCAAAATGACAATGATACATAAATGAACAAAGGACTACTTAGTCTAGCAGTTACTGACATGCCAGCTCCAGCCCTCAATTAAACTGATTGAAAGATTATGCTATCATCATATGAAAATCAAGTACAATCCCTCCCGTAAGGGGTTTAGTATCATACCATCATAAAATAGATGAGAAGAACATAACCCGTGGCATAGATATAAGAAGATGTGGTACGAGTGCCAATGAGACAACTCTCCATCCAAGTCAAAATTTATAAAAGTAAACCATTATAGGCCAAAGTACGGTCTTCAACACGGAGCCTTAGCTGCCAATAACTGTTTTAGAATAAATGTGTTTATTTCCGATACAAAGACCCTATGAGTGAATCAATATTAATACCAAAATATGCAATCCTTAATGACTTGACAGCAGTATCGTAACTATATCCTTTCCGAATAAGTCTGTTTAAAGGTTCGGTTAGCTTTTTAGGTGAATGCCGACATTTTTGTGCTTTGTAAAGAATATTATCATAAAATATTGGATGTGAAATACCCGAACGTATAAGATGTCTGCATGTTGATTTATATTTACGAATGATGTCCTTGTAGTTAGCTTGTACCGATGATAAAATTTAGTAAATGTTTTGACTAGTTTGTGATATCTAAAACCCCGGTGTAATAATTTTTCAGTAATACAGAGATTTCTTTCGTTGAAATCAAATACGTTGTTACATACACGAGCGAATCGAACAAGTTGAGATATATAAACGCCATAAGATGGTGACAAAGGAACGTCACCATCTAAAAATGGATAATTAACAATAGGAAATGAACAATCATCTCTTTTATCATAAATTTTGGTATTAAGCTTCCCGTTAAAGATATAGATATCAAGATCCAGGAAAGGGCAGTGTTCATTGTTAGTATTAGCTTTATTTAAAGTCAGTTCGGCAGGATAAATCTATTTAGTAACATACTGAAGTCGTCATTATTGAGAGCCAATATATCATCTAAATATCTGAAAGTGTTATTAGATTTTTGAATCAGATGTTGTTTCTATGGGTCTTTGCTGATTTTAGTCATAAATTGTAACTCATAACAATACAGAAACAGGTCCACAATATGTGGCGCACAGTTAGTCCCCATGGGAATTCCGATAACCTGACGATATACGGAATCTCCATAGCGAACAAAAATGTTATCTAGTAAAAATTCAAGGGCAGTTATAGTATCAAAGCAGGTCCAATTGACATAGTTTTTTTGTTTGTTGTTACTAAAAAATGACCTAAAAGAGTTTGGACATATATATTCGCATTCCGACTTTTAAATGCCCATTTAATCAGGTGTGTGAATTTTTTCTTAATAAGATTATGAGGCAAAGTGGTATAGTATGTCCGTCTATTAGGTTTCCTCTGACCTTGACCTAATTTTCATGTTCATTGGACAATGTTTAGTTTTGTGGTTTGGTATTTTTCTCAGATATTATAAGCAATAGGTCAATTATATTTAGTGTATGGAACCATTGTAAGGTGTACATGTCTGTCTGGCAGGGTTCATATGACCTTGGCCTCATTTTCATGGCTCATTCGTCAATGTTAAGACTTCGTAATTTTGTCAGTTTATCAGATACTATAAGCAATATGTCAACTATATTTGGTGTATGGAATGATTGTAAGATGTACATGTCTGTCTGGCAGGGTTCACATGACCTTGACCTCATTTTCATGGTTCATTAGTCAATGTTAAGATTTTGTGGTTTGAATGTTTCCCAGGTACTATTAGCAATATGACCACTATATTTGGTGTATGGAATGATTGTAAGGTGTACATGTCTGTCTGGCATGGTTCATCTGACCGTGACCTCATTTTATAGAACATTGATAATGTTAAATTTATGTGAATTACTTGTAGTATCAAAACCTTCATATTACAGATTTCAACATGAATTCAGTGACGTTTCTGCGTTTTTATACGGCATTATTGGCTTTCAAATCACGGTTAGGGTTTATGCGGGGGGTACTCAGCCGAACCTCATTTTCAGTTTTTCCGTTTTGTTATTTACTGCTGTCACTGACTAAGGGTATTGAATAAAATAATAAATATAATGAATTTTTGAAAAAGTTTGTATGTGATCTGACAAAAATGTTATAAAACTGAAAATGTTTTTCAAAGCCATGATTTAATGAAACCATATTTTGACAAGATGTGTTGGTTAAGTTTTATTTTTCATGATGATTCCAAAATGTACATTTCTTAAATGTTCGATTTCGATAGGATATAATTTGAATTGGAGTTATTTCCCATGGCCGCCATTTTGGAGGGGTAAATGGTAGATATTCGTACTTTAACTTACCAACATAAAACATGCGGTACAAACAAGTTTGATAAAAGATCCTTACTAGATTATAGTTTTGAATCAAGCAACCATAAAAGAAATTAGAATTGTTCAGAAAACAACTCAATTTACTGTTTATAAAGTCTAGTGGACATTATAACAAATTGAAATGGTGGATTTATAAAGAATTCGTGCACTTAGACATCCACAATGGCGACAAAAAGGAAGTAACTCTTGCTCAAATTGTGTCCATGGAATTATATCTATAAGTGTAGTTAACATTTATTTATTCTTCATGAACCAAACACCTATTCCAAAAGCCAACCCAAATACTGTCACACTTGTTACAAAGGGAATCTTCGATTTTACAGCTCTCCAAAACATGTACGGTACAATTTTCTTTATTTCAGCCCGAAGCATCTTTACTGATTTTCTTTGTTCTATCCTCTGTAAATATTCATGGAGCAACGGTCTCCTTGCTTTGGCAAAAAATCTATCTTCTAATCCCAAGATTGTCATTCGATCCATGTAAATTATAAGATCGATATCAGCTGCAGTGAATTCAGGTCCTGCCAGGTAATAGTCTTGTCCTTCAGAAACCGCTGCTGTAAAAAAGAAGTTGTAAACGTTACGTTTTGATTATCATTCAAGCTGGTGTTTATTTAATTCGTTGATATGATTATAATTTTACTAAGGATTTCGACCAAAATTGGTCTTTCTTGTTACACTTGTCGTTTTTACTAGAATGTTGAAAAATGCACAGGTCTGTTAGTGAGAGTGGTTAAGTTCAGAATAATAATAAACCGAAATAAGAAGTCGTAGATTGGAAAAGAGCAAAAAAAAAAAAAAAAAATGACGAACACAAATATAAATAAAAATAAAATATTAAAAAAATAATCATAAAAATATTGAGTAAAGTTTCTTCGCTGAAAAGTACGAGATGAACTTAATAGATAGCCAAGAGGTTAGCAGTAACTTTTCCTGTCATATAGCACATTCTTAAGTCATTTGTTTCCGGGTTTGTCCGTAACATCCGTCGTGATCCTCACGATTTTGTCGAGTAGTGGTCAGTAGTTGATCTCGTATGACATTGTAACTTGACGCGAGGAATAATAGTATGACTGATAATCTGTGTTATAGGTATACCACAACGATTACACACAGTTTTCAGCAGAATATATTATAGGAAATGCTGGCAAGAGAAAAGGTTTTTTTTCAGAAGGCAACTGTGTGACATCCAAAGTTGTTTATACACTGTTGATGATTTTGTGACAGTGTCCCATTTAAAAAAAATCATAGAGATATCTGAAACTGTACACGTGTTTTACAGAAAATCTGCTATACAAGATAGCCAAACAATTGTTTATGATGGCAACCGCGAACACAGATCCTATTGAAAGCCGATAACAGGGTGTGTTAGATATCTCTATGTTTTTTTTATATCTATGTAACCGTTACATAAAGGATCAACTTAGACGCGCTTTATTGACAGGGTCCGAGGTTAGACACGGCTAACGGTACTGCAGATGCAATATATATGTATTTATTTCATTTGTGTGATATGTTTGGTTTTTTTTTTTACGTTTTCGTACCTTTATTTTTAACCAAACAGCCTTCAAATTGTTCAAATTTGTTATCAACATCATCTAAGCATTTTGCAACCTTTTCCTTGTCCAAAACAGTTTGTGCAAAGTTCTCTATCTTTTCTACTTTTGTCAAAAAAGTATTTCTTAAATCCGGGTACTTTTCAGCAGACGTTTCTAATCTTTTGATGAATGCTGCAATAAGAAATTCGGTTATTATTAAATTTCAATAAAATAGTACCATCTAATTTCACAGAATATTTAATAAAGGAAAAACATATATGATAAGGCCACATTTTAGCCCCTTGAATTTGAAAATTAATCATTGGCCTTGAGTATCATTCTAAATTTAAAATGAAATACCAATCTTCTTGACATTATGCTGTAAGATATTAGTCACAATGTACATGCATTTTGTAAAATTCAATAAACTCAGCATAATTTGAAAATATTAAAGATTTATTCATTTTTTTGCAATTGGACGTGCTGAATAACTATGACTAACTTCATACCCCCTTTTGTTCACAGTTTTAATCATTTCAATATATATTTTTTTTTTTGTGCTGACTTGAAGTTTGGAATTATTCCTATTATATTTCATGTGGATAAGTTCCGTTCATTGTTTCTGTAATGATAAGGGAAAATGTATTTCTTAATTTCGTGTTCTATGTCACAGAATTCTTACAATACTTTATTCTCTAAAAACCAATACAACCAAAGGTACAGAGAATGACATTCAAAAACGATATACAAATAATACATAGTATGGCAGAGGTGAGTTAAAATTGGTGTCATATGTGATACGGTATGAAAAAAAACACACAAAAAAACCCCAACAACATGCCAGTAATGTGGTCTAGACAGGAAGACCGATTTTCTCGTTTATTATTTTAATTAGTTTATATAGTCTTTTCATAAGAAAAGATTATTTTTTTTAAGTTTCTCAATTTTAATACATTTGAGTGACAAGAAAAATACACGGGTAAATACAATTTCCTTTCATTTTTCAGTGCAGGACATTCTGAAATATAATGATATTCGTCTCCTACCTCTGATCTGTCGAAAAAGTGTGCATTTTCCCTCTGATCTTTCTAAATTTGTCCATCGACCTCTTTTGATTGGTAAATTGTGATGTAGTGTCTTAAATTTACAAGTTATATATTTTTTTATTTGGAAGTATTTGTAAATAATCTTCAAATGTTAAATCTTTCTTGAAAATTTTATAATTCAAAAATTCTAACATTGTGGGATGTTTTGAATTTCCGAAGTCATGTTTGCTTAAATTGATCTGTGAGTCAGAAGTTTTACCGCTGCAACTAACCATTTTGAGTTATTACCATTCTGAAGTAGGAAAGCATTTGAGAAACCGCATTCATGCAATATGCCATTTACATTTTTCACCAAATTTATTTCTTGGTTATTTGTCGTGTAATAGTGAAGTGATGCTGGACAGCTTATCGTTGTTAGAAAGCAGCTTACACCAATAAGAAATAATTTTAGCTTTAATCGAATTGTTTCATGGGTGACGCTCCGTTTCCCCATAAACAATAAGGTTCGGAGTACAGTACTTGTTTTCATATGGAGAAGATGTTTCAAGAATTTCAAATGAACATTTTTCAATAACTAGTATATCATTTTTTCTCATAGCCCGTACTTCGCATCCATAAAGGAGGATAGGCTTTAGAATTTTTTCAAACAGGTCTATTTGACCTTTAATTGACAGATTGTTTATTCTGCCTTTCTTCGGTACACTGTACATAGCTTTAGTAGCTTTTTCTGCCATTTTTTTCTTGGTTTGCGCTAAGGAGCCTCACCTGTTCAGAACCAGTCCCAAGTAGTTAAATTCTTTTACTACTAGTATTTTGAATTCTTCGTTATTATAAAATTAATTTCAATTTACTTTGTTATCGTCCCTTTGAGAAGACGACAATTTTCGTTTTAGCTACGTTTACTTTAAGCTTCCACATTTTACAATATATGTTAAAATGATTGAGTTGTTTTTGAAGATCATCTTTTGACTCCGCAAGTAAAACTGTATCTGCATATAGCATGCAATAAAACAATTTTTGATATATGGATAGACAGTTTTCAAGGTCATCTGAGATACTTTTCAGACCATTTATTTCCTGTCTTGATATGAAATCCACTTAGTCGTTAATATATATTTAAAATAAAAGAGGCGACAGATATTCTCCTTGTCCCACTCCTTGTGTACATGGAGCATAATCTGATGCCTTTCCGTTATATATTACTCTGGATTTAATGTCATTATACATGTTCATAATTATTTTTAGCATTTTACCATTTATATTGTAGCTAACTATTATTAAACATCAAAAGTAGTCCGTGATACAATCAATTGTTTCTTGCTTTCTTTCAAGCAAGGAAGTTCTATTCGGATAGAACATCCTCGTTTCCAGCTTACTTTTCTTCATTTCAATTGTTTACCTTTCAGGACATTGCTATCATAAAATCCTGGCATTTTCACACCGCTTATTGAAAAATCTCTGTTAAGTAACACGCCAAAAGTAGCAATCCCAATGTCAATTTCTGCGAACAGATCTCGTAATCTTTGTACCTCCTTCCCTACTGCGCTGCTCCTGTCTGGAACTAGTCTAGCTCCTATGGAAAAAAGAAAAAACCAAGATAAGTTAATATTTATGACGACCCAAGCAACATTAACGTGAGCTGTAAACGCCAATGAAACAGAAACAGCACGACATAAATCGCAAACGAGAAATCAACATAGAATAGGATAGAATATTTTTATTTCCCAAATTGCAGGGCCCATAAAGGGCATAAAATCAGTTACAATTGATTGACAGAATTGATAATTACAACAATAAACATCACAGTGTACATGTACATGTATATTTAGTATATTAGCATTGGTCAGAGCCAACAACAATATATATTATGAATGCACAATTACATTATATGCATTCGTTCTCAAATTATTTACTAGACTTGGTATCAATATTCAGACCTGATCTCCTTAATTCAAAACACTCTCCAATATAACAGCCCATTTTTTCCATAAGAGATACATATGTCTTCACAACCTAGCTCTAAATCGGTCCGAGTCATTTGGTTAACATTTATTAGCATAAGGAACACTTTAGCATTTTTCAATAAAACCTGAATAAAGTTTTTTTATTTATAAAGAATGTATAAGAAACATTAAACACAAGAGAGATATTTATTGGAAGTTGAAATGGTTTATTCGTAACAGATAAAAGTAAGGTATCAACAATACAAGAAATTACGAGGTTACGAGTTATATATAAATGTTAGGTACATGTTTGGTTCAAAGCTGGACTTGTACAATCATTAGCAAAGAGTGTAAAGGTGCTTGGTTTTATAAGAATACGACATGATACAATACTGTAATTTAAATTATGTATTACAGTAAACATGTGTAGCTCTTAAACTTGGTGATAGCCTATCACCAAATATATTAAGTCATTTTATTTACATATGTTAGCTAAGATAATCAAAATACCCGCTTTGACTTTTTGATCGATATGGTCTATAATTTCCTCTGATTCCAATAAAATATTATCCCCATCTTTAAGAACAGGAACTTGTCCTTTAGGGTTTAACTTCATAAATTCTGGATCATTTTGTTCTCCGGAATGGATGTTAATAATTTTTCGATTAAATGGACAGCCTTTCTCAAACAGTGCCAGCAAAACCTGCAAATAAACAACACTGGACTACTAAATCCGACTTAGAAAACCAAATGACTTTGTCTTAAATGTCCAAAATATTTCATTATTTTGCTATCGTTCAATACAAATAAGAAAGAAAATATTTGGAAAGCCAAACATACAAAGCGTTAGAGAGTATGACCCCTGACAAAACAGCAAAACTCAGGTCAAATTTACTTTGCAACCTTAATACCATTTGTACAACATTTAAATCCTGCAAATACTTAAGCCAAGGCTACTTGAAATAGGTGTATTCGGGGACTGATAGTCCACCAGAAAATACCTTAGAAAATGAAATGCACATATATCTTATCCTCAAAACTAAAATAGTCGAGGGTTTGGATTGGTTTTACAGAAAAGAGAATATAGAGCAAAACATACAGAATAGTGGGAAAAAATAAAGAATAGAAAATAATTGGGTACTAAAATATAAATAACAGAAAACATTGGGCAAAAAAATAGAGAAAATGACATAAAAATATAAAATACAGAAATGAAGCCCCCTTCTCACCCAGACCCTTGTAGCAAAATAGGAAATATTTGGTATACGAGACAGCAAGATATATTTTTAAAGATCAAAAGAATATTAGAAACCAATATACGGTTTTAAATAAAAGACAGTTCACTCAAGTTGACCTCTAAATGTTCAATATTGTTTAATAGCTGCTACGTGTAGATGTTCCTTGGCTTATTGCTGTTTCAGGATTCCCTTTCTTACTTGCATTCTACCAAATGTTTTTTTATTTGTTAGTCGTTATATGAAAAACGATTTCTTAAAAAAAAACTTCGCCCAAACATTGTATTACAAATAGACTTGTTTCGTTACTAATAAAATCTTTTATCTAAATATTGATTATAACATTGTCGAGGTAACATCACACCTTTTTAACTCGTACTTTTAAAATGTTATGACGTTATAATTTACATTACATGTATGTTTCTTTATAATACGTTATTTTGATTGGCTAACAGCAATCTCGTGCATTCTTCATTTCAAAATGAATTGTAACATTCATGATGACACGAGCTTCCACAATAAAGTGCACAGGTAAATAAAAGAAAAACTTGATAGAAATCGTGTTTTCATGATCCTATCAAAAAATGTAATTATAAGTATTGAACGCTTCTTTTAGTAATTTTATTTAAGAATTGAATAATTCTTTGTAAATGTTTTGGGGTATAAAAGCGTTGACCGAAATACATTTTGTATGAAGTGCTTCCGCGCTTCATTCTAAAAATGTGCGCACGATCAACGCTTTTAAAACCCTATAAAATTACTAAAAGAAACATTCAATACTTATAATTACATATTTTTTCCAGGATCATGAAAACACGATTTCTATCAAGTGTTTCTTTTATTTACCTGGGCACTTTATTTATTGTGGAAGCTCGTGTCATCATGAATGTGAAATGAAGGTTAATTTCAGAATGATACGAGATTGCTGTTAGCCAAACAAAATAACGTATTATAATGAAACCTATATGTAATGTAATTATAGGGTTGTAAAAGCGTTGACCGTGCGCACATTTTTAAAATGAAGCGCGGAACATACAAAATGTACTTCGGTTAACGCTTTTACACCCCAATAAATTTACAAAAAGAAGCATTCAATTCTTAAATAAACATTTTACTAGTATGGTTACAAATTCAATTGAAGGGTTGTACAATCTTAAACAAATAACCTTAAATGGATTTTATTTTCAAAATGCTCTACTAATACAATCGCAAAAAAGACAATACAATGATTAAAAATAAAAATATTTTAAATTTCTTCTTATTTACCTTTTGTGCGCAGTTGGATGTATAAAAATAATACAACGTGAAGCGATTTTCAGACATCCTGTATCTCTGAAAGTGTATTCTCCTTAGTTCCAATTATTCCGATTCAAGCAGTGTTGTTATACATGTAACCTTGAGAATCGATGTGATACACTGTGTACCTATAAAGGTGAACATGTTTAAATGGGGAAAAATTAGAACATTTGATATATAAATCACGTGATACGTGTTAATAATTGATAAAAAATCAAAACAACAGTTTTGCCCCAAGTGAATCTCATTATAGTATATAGACACAGGCGCTTGGGGAAAAAAGTATACTATAATAGAAAAAGTTGGGCCCATGCCCCAAGTACATGTGCATATGTGCATATAGCAACCACGCTCCTTTACATTTTGTATTCAACTGTAAGCCACGGTTACCGATACAATTGACATCAACATTAATGATTCTACGATTGGCCACTGGTGGATCCTCGGGGGCGGGGAAGGGGTGAGGTGTAGAGGGTAAAAATCTTGGATCCGCCCCTGCAAAAAGCGATAATCCAGCTAAGGAACAGTAAATAAATCTTTTACTAAAACTTCGTTACGCATCCTTAAGGAAAGAACAAAATAAGAAACATACAAAGAAGGGACGATCGAAAGCTTTAACAACAGATAAAACATGGATAGCCAATCGGTGTTAATCATTGCGTCATTTATGTTTGGAGAAACTTAGTAGCTTTAAAAAAGACGATGTAAGCGGGGTATCTTTAAAGACAGGAAGGTGATACATATACTGGAAGCTCTGTGTAAGGATAACCGGAAAAAAAAGTGTGATATCCTTTTCAACCAGAATAAGAAATTGAGCTATGATATCTCATTAGACAATTTAATGGACATTTAAAATCTTCGTTCTTGTGCTAGTGCTGACAGCAACTTTCATAATCTTGCGGGTGACTTGACCCAGGAAACGATATTTGAGGAATAAGATAGTCCGCTTACCTACAAAGAAATTTCAAAGCTTTATCCGATCTGAAACAAGAAGACTTACGAATAAACGAAATTTCAATCTAATATATTGTCTATTGTGATACAGTTATTTAATATGGTTTTGCCTTCAAGATATTCTCCGAAATCATAGACAGAAGCTATCATTGTTCCATCATTCAAATGTAAAGGTGACCCCCCGTCAGTGCTCAGTGACCCGTCAAATTATCGAGTATCAGCATTGTTATTAACTTTGCAGAACTTTTTACTTCAATATTTAACCAAAAATTACTGAAATAGTCACTACAGTTTAATGTTATTACTGTAATGATTGATGCACAGTTTTGAATTAAACCAGGATCAAGAACAGTCGACGCAATTTTTGTATTGTCTAAATGTAGCTAAACGTAAACGTCTTTACCGTTGCCTCGTAGGCTATACGTACACTAGCAATTGACATTGTTGATATATTTACATTTATATTATACAGGCAAAGTTTCACTTTGGTATAACTGGTAAATTGTTGTCAATTATAAAATCTATGTATATGAATATAAGTTCATTTTTTCGCATAAATGGTTTTGTTCGAAATATTTCACCATTAATACACAATGTAATTGGTCTTTTGCTAGGAAAGGTTTTATCATCTATTTTATTTTCTTCTCACGTTGACGACTTGGAAAACGATGTAATGTACCGATAGATGAACACGAAATGTCATCATTTTATTAATGATGATGATGATGATGATGATGATGATGATGATGATGATGATGATGATGATGATGATGATGATGATGATGATGATGATGATGATGATGATGATGATGATGATGATGATGATGATGATGATGATGATGATGATGATGATGATGATGATGATGATGATGATGATGATGATGATGATGATGATGATGATGATGATGATGATGATGATGATGATGATGATGATGATGATGATGATGATGATGATGATGATGATGATGATGATGATGATGATGATGATGATGATGATGATGATGATGATGATGATGATGATGATGATGATGATGATGATGATGATGATGATGATGATGATGATGATGATGATGATGATGATGATGATGATGATGATGATGATGATGATGATGATGATGATGATGATGATGATGATGATGATGATGATGATGATGATGATGATGATGATGATGATGATGATGATGATGATGATGATGATGATGATGATGATGATGATGATGATGATGATGATGATGATGATGATGATGATGATGATGATGATGATGATGATGATGATGATGATGATGATGATGATGATGATGATGATGATGATGATGATGATGATGATGATGATGATGATGATGATGATGATGATGATGATGATGATGATGATGATGATGATGATGATGATGATGATGATGATGATGATGATGATGATGATGATGATGATGATGATGATGATGATGATGATGATGATGATGATGATGATGATGATGATGATGATGATGATGATGATGATGATGATGATGATGATGATGATGATGATGATGATGATGATGATGATGATGATGATGATGATGATGATGATGATGATGATGATGATGATGATGATGATGATGATGATGATGATGATGATGATGATGATGATGATGATGATGATGATGATGATGATGATGATGATGATGATGATGATGATGATGATGATGATGATGATGATGATGATGATGATGATGATGATGATGATGATGATGATGATGATGATGATGATGATGATGATGATGATGATGATGATGATGATGATGATGATTAACGTCCAGCGGTAAATCCGTATGCATATTCAGGACGAGGACATGTTAACGGGTGCCACATGTGGAGCAGGATCTGCTTACCCTTCCGGAGCACCTGAGATCACCCCCAGTTTTTGGTGGGGTTCGTGTTGCTTAGTCTTTAGTTTTCTATGTTGTGTCATCTGTACTATCATTTGTCTGTTTGTCTTTTTATTTTTGGCCATGGCGTTGTCAGTTTGTTTTCGATCTATGAGTTTGACTGTCCCTCTGGTATCTTTCGTCCCTCTTTTAATGTAATATGAATAGTAAATATAAATAAAAAGATGTGGTATGAGTGCCAAAGAGACAACTATCCATCTAAGTCACAATGTGTAAAAAGTAAACAATTATAGGTCAAAGTACGGCCTTCAACACGGAGCCTTGGCTCACACCGAACAGCAAGCTATAAAGGGCCCCAAAAAGACTAGTGTACTAGACCGACAAACTGAGCCGGATTTCTAACGTGCTAGTTCACAAGGTAACAATCCGCAGAAAGACATGTTACCTTCCTCGGACACATTTTTCCGACTCCGAGCCGACCAGTCTTTGCTCTTACTCCTTAATGCCGCGTGCTTAGCGGAGAAGCAGCAAATACCAATTTTAAAGTCTTTGGTTTGACCCAGCTGGGGTTCGAACCCACCAACTCCCGCACTCGAGGCGAACATGCTATATTTGGATCTTGCTATAGGTACGTGCATATATAGTATTATTGTATGTAGCTGCGATTTAGTGTTCTATCAGAGACATATAATACAATTATATATATTGTATTATATGTCTCTAGTTCTATGATAAACCGATACAAATGAATTAAGTGGATTTTTCTTTCTTGTCTCCCACTGATCGAGAGTATTGTAGATGCACTAAGTATTTACAATAAAAAATGATTTGTATAGTTAGACGTATGGAACTTTCGCTATATACAAATCCTTGCAAAAACTAAGTAAAACCACGACGAATCCGTGTTTGTCTAATAATAATGTGTATTGATGTCAAATCTTCGTTCGTCGTGTTGCTTTCTTTCATAACTTTACTATAAAAATAAGGAGATGTGGTAGTATTGCCAATGGGACAACTATCAACCAAAGTTCAAATGAAGTGGATGTAAGCAATTATATGCAACCGTACGACCTTCTACAATGAGAAAAATCCATACCACATAGTCGGCTAGAAAAGGCCTCAACATGAAAAATGTGAAACAATTCAATTGAGAAAACTAACGGCCTAATTTTAATTTAACAAAACAATTTACGTAACGAGAAACAAATATAACAGACATGAACTAATGACAAGCACTGAATAGGCTCCTGGCTAGTATACTTCATACGATTAGAGATAACAAAAAGGGCGAATTGCTGTTGTTGGAACCCATCATTTTCATAGTGATATTTACATTTATAGTAGTGCTGTTGGGTAACTATCTCATTGACCCAACACCTTTATCTTCTTGTATTCGCTTATAGTATGCCAAAAAAAAAACTGATCATATCTCGTTTGATATTTCATTTATTTTTGAGGTACCAAATACCAGCTCCAATCGCCAAAGCTAGTACTGCCACACTACCAACATAAGGAGCCACTGATTTGACACCCGACAATAGCAGTAGCGGTCCTATTTTCTTTGCCTCTGTTCTTAACATCTTTACAGATTTCTTCTGACCAATTCTTTGTTGATAATCAAACAACAGCGGTCGTCTTGATTTTGAAAAGAATCTGTCTTCAAGACCTAGTATTGTCAAACGATCCATTATGACAGCAAGAATAATATCTGCTACATTGAACTGAGAACCTGTTAGCCAATACTCCTTTCCAGATACTCCTGCTGTTGTAGTTGTATATGAATTAAAAATAAAAGTATGTTTCATTACAATGTAATATATAAATTTCTGTTTTACGAATTTCCTTCTACTTTCTTTAAAATCATACCAGTCATGGTATGTATTTGTTTTTGGGAGGTATATATTTTTGCAGAGTCCATGTCGAACAGTGACCACTGTCCTTGATCACATGATATGCGTTTACCCTCGAACCCAGGATTTTTAGAAAGGGGGCATATGTAATGGGGAAAAATCTACAAAATTTTTTAAACATCATATATTGCTAAACATAATAACCGATTTTAGATTTAAGAGCCAGGTTCGCACGTAACCCATTGACATCCCAGATGATGTTTTTTTGTTTTAGCATAAAGAGTTTAAGGATGTATTCTTCTAACGTTTTAGTCTCGTTAAAATCTCGTTCTGGAATTATTTCCAAAATATATGATACAATTGGAAACATAAATGGATTTAAAAAATGTTATAATCAAACTTAAATCTATGAAACAATTGTGTATTTACAATGAGTATTTTTTGAGAAATCAATTTTTCCAATTTTATTACCAATCAAGTCAGTCTTTTTAGCCAAAATTTTGAGAAAATGGGTGAGGGGTACAAGAAATGATTTTACCAGAAACATGTACATTCCATATCACTTTTTTTCTTTTCAAATTTCTTAGATATGTATTTTTTCAATCATTTATAACAAAGAAGTTGAAATAATATGCATTTTGTTCTTAAAACAGAAAAATCACAAATTTACAAAGTTGACAGCATGGTAAATTTGACACAAAAAAGCATCAAAATATGATAAAACTTTCTTATATTACACCTACCTATAGTTTTTTTAAGTTAAATTTATTCAAATTGGTCCACTTCATCTTTATTGAAAGTATGAAAAAAAGTTTAATTGTGGGAATATGATTTTTTTCACGATAATAGCCCAAAAATAGGTAAAAATTGATGAAAAATGGGAAAATCATCAAAATTGGGTACTTTCAAAGGACCGTAGCAAAAAAAGAAGTGCACCACCATATGATTTTTTCTTTACCAATTATATTTTTACAGTCATATAAATCAAAAAATCAGGTTAAGAAAAAAAGTTTAAATCTAGAAATTTTTGGCTCCTCAGAGGTGTACATCCTTAAAACAAAGGTATTTTTATTTCTATGTAAAATCTTTTGTTTTTTTGTTTTGAGAAATGTAGTATTGTATTATCTGTTTCACCTTATCGACCCCCATCTTTATCACCTCATCGACCCCCATCTTTATCACCTCATCGACCCCCATCTTTATCACATATCAGTGCCGTTGCGAATATGAGGGTGCATGAGTGTTGTTATAAAAAATCGTAATAATATTATTGCATTTTTTTACAAGGTTAAACATTACCTATTTAACTTGTCATACATTGTTGCTGTTGTAGTGTCTAGAGTAAAAATACAATTACGTTTTATTTCTATACATGTCAAAATTTGTTTGATTAAATGTCTTGTTTTTTTAAGCAATAGCGTATACATTGATGGTGATTTTTTTTACAGGAGTGTACGTGTGTCATCCCATCGACTTCTGTTCTTTATCAGACATTAGCCGCAAAGCCAGGATTTTTAGTCGGGAGTGGGTGCTATTAATAAAATCTTCTGTATTTGCATTTTTTATACGGTTAAAATTAATACCGATTTTAGGTTGCACATACCTACAATGGATTATGCCGCCCTGTTAGTGAACTGATTGCACATTGCCATGAATACACACAGGGATAACGATCCGGCGGCGGCGTCGTTAACAAACTTCTTAAAAGCTTAATATTTCAGAAGGTAGAAGACCTGGATCCTTCATACTTTGTATATAGAAGCCTTATTTTATTAAGTTTCCGTCTGTCATATGTCATATGTCCATTGTCCTTTACCTCATTTTCATGGTTCAGTGACTACTTGAAAAAAATGTTAGGATTTTTAGTATTCCTAATTTCTCTCTTATCATGAGTAATAGGATAACTATATTTGGTATGTGCGTACCTTGCAAGGTCCTCATGCCCGTCAGATAGTTTTCACTTGACCTCGACCTCATTTCATGCATGGATCAGTGAACAAGGTTAAGTTTTCGTGGGCAAGTTCATATCTTAGATACTGTAAGCAATAGGTCTACTTTATTTGGTGTATGGAATGATTGTAAGGTGTTCATGTCTAACTGGCAGGTGTCATCTGACATTGACCTAATTGTTAAGTTAAGTTTTTGTGTTTTTCTTATACTGTATGCAATAGGTCAACTATATTTGGTGTATGAAAATATTTTACGATGTACATGTCAGTCCGGCATGTTTTATTTGACCTTGACCTCATTTTTACGGGTCATTGTTCAATGTTAAGTTTTTGTTTTTTTAGTTGTAGTAAAGCTTTATATTTAGGACTATCAACATAATATCAATGGTTAGTAAAGAAGGCGAGACATTTCAGCGTGTGCACTCTTTTTTATTTACAGACAATAATCATGTGATTTTTTTTAGTGATATTTATATCACAATAAAATGCAACATTGATGACTGCACGTGCTCTCCATAGCAACGTTAAAACAATGTGTAGGAAATTATGAAAAAAGAGACATTGATTTAAATTGTAAATTCCTTGTTTAGCGCTACATTGCTTCCGCCCTTTTTTCAAAATGTGCTTCGGTGAACGATAAATCCACAAAAGCGGTTTCGACGCGTAAAATTTATAAAGTATTTTGGGAGTAACAATCATATAAAAAAAGTTTTTTAACGGTATCATACCTTGACTGCTCTGTAAACTTTCTTCTAATTGATCAAAAGTTCTTTCGGTATCATCTAAACATTTTACTACATTCTCTTTCTTAAAAGCATCATCTATGCTCCTCCTTGTCTTTTCAGCTTTTGTCAAGTATGCTTGGCGTAAGTCTGGGTATTTAACGGCATTTCTTTCTAAGTTTGTTACCATATCCCTGCCAGATCGACCTGTTTGGATAATGAAAATTAATACAAATAAATGTAAATCAAATGACACCAAGTGTATACTCTATATAAAAGTAAGAATATGTGGTATGATTACTGACTTGGGACAAGCACATAAATATTGTGACGGGGTTACTAGTAATAGAAATAAGATGTGGTATGAGTGCCAATGAGACAACACTCCATCCAAGTCACAATGTGTAAAAAGTTAACAATTACAGGTCAAAGTACGGCCTTCAACACAGAGTCTTGGCTCACACCGAACAGCAAGCTATAAAGGGCCCCAAAATGACTAGTGTAAAACAATTCAAACAGGAGACCCAACGGTCTAATCTATATAAAACACGAGAAACACTTATGAACCATATCAACAAACGACAACCACTGAACAACAGGGTCCTGACTTAGGACAGGTACAAACAAATGCAGCGGGTTTAAACGTTTAAACAGGCGCCAACCTTCACCCTAACCTGAAACAGACGGTAGTGTAACATTACTACATAGAAAGACACACTATAAAATATCATTTGAAATGGCTTAACTCGATCAAAAAGACATATTAACAAAACAAGTAAACATACACTGAACGAATACATTTGATCTATGACACAATATAAATACAATATTAACAAAAAAAAGGGGATGTAAAACAATGTCAAAAAGACAACTATAACCTGGGACAAAATGGAGTTAAATAAAACAACGTACACAGGTAAATTTAAATATGATAATTTTGTTGTAAGGTGTACGAAAATATTTTTTACAAAATAAATAAATTTGTTGTACAAAGTACGATTACAGAAGTGAAAATTTATCGTCATGCTAAATACTTTTCAAAGGTGGTACATATTAAAAATATTTAGACGAGATATAACACAAAATAAGTAAAAATTGAATAATAAAAATGCATTACAAATTGTGTCAACAGATCAAATTACTGTGGATTCATTTATTTTCGTGGGTACCAATTTTCGTGGATTGAGGAAAACTTGCATTTTCGTGGATACTTGATTTCGTGGTTTTGTCAAATTTAAAGTCTGCATACAATCTTATAGAAAATTTGTAATTCTTTGAACATCTAAATTCGTGGTTTACCTGTACCCACGAAATCCACGAAAATTGGTACCCAACGAATAATAATGAATCCACAGTAACACGAAAGTACGATTTGAGAGTACTCGCAGTTACTGAAAGCTAAAATCAATTAAAACACATCCCAGGGATTTAGTGTTTTAACGCCATGGACAGTCAAAGAAGACATGACTTGTGCAATGCCAAAATCAAAGTATCGACAGGCAGTAGGATAGTTAGGATTTAACCTTATAATAAATATGTATCATGTTATATATACATAAAGCAATCTCTATATAGACTTGAAATAAACGTGGATGTGTATTTATACATGCCAAAAAAACATTCGAAAAGAATACAAATTTAGTTATCATGATTTAATTTGTTGATGACAAAATCGATATTTGTGCCAATGTAAACAATATTCAAAGATCTTATTACAACATTAATATGATAACCTTTACTAATAAGTTTGTTTAAGGTTCAATGAGTTTACACGGATCACATAGAGATTTCCGAGCTTTTAGTACAATATTACCGTAAAATTTAGGATGTGAAATACCGTTAAACATGTTTGTGAGCGATCAAATCTCTACAAACCTTATACAGTGGTGTAACAGCACAACGCAAAAACAACAAAATGACATCAGTTGTAAATAGCTTACTCAATAGATTGATACGAAGCACAACAAGCAACTAATATAAAACAATAGACAAACAGGGTGTTCTGTTACTGTACATTGATATCTTAAAATATCAGTCGCGAATCACAATGTAAACCTTTTTGGTAAGTAATGCAGACTAGCAAAAAGTTTCACTTTGTATCGAGTGGCTGATATTTAACAATATATGTACGCAGAAAACCTGATAATATGTTTATCGTACCATTTTTGGTCCCCAACGCCTCCCCACACCCCCATAAGACAGTTCTACGCTGTGTTGTCCTAACTTAAATAGTTCTGCTTCTATATTGTGACGTTGTTGATAGGTTCTGTTCGCGTCTCAAACCGTTATACAAGAATTACAGAGCGGCTGGGCAGGGTGATATAGAGCCACAGGGAAGTTGGGTAAACTCTAAATATAAAATAATGCACGATCTATTCAACGCCAGACAACTATCACAGATCCAATAATGTCTTTTTACAAAGTATATTTATTTAATATTTTAATTACTGAAGGAAAAATTACCAGGTTATCAAAAGTCCAAGAACAGCCATTTACATTGTCTGACGTTGTCAGATAAAGGAAGACACATCTTGGTCTTTATGAATAGTATCATTGGCAATCATGCCAAATCTCTAGATTTATATGCATTATGGTACAATGCATCCTGGATATCGACATGAATCCAAGAAATAGTAACATACTAGGTTGTAACAATAAAGCTATTGGATTGTCCAAACTTATATTACGTACAGAAACAGAAAAAAACGGTCTGTACTACTATATCGAGTAAAATTGTATAATATTTTATTATACCTGAAATTATCTTAAGAAATATTCTTGGCATTTTTACACCGCTGATGGACAACTCTTGATTAGCTATAACACCAAATGTCAACAATCTCACATTTATATCCGCCATTAAGTTTCGTAATCTCTGGACTTCCCTGTCAGCTGAAGTATTTGGATCTGGAATCAACTTCGGTCCTGTCGAAATTACACCATTAGAATACGAGATATTAACACTGTATTTATATTGACAATTTTGTTTACAAAACTGCAATTCTCCTTATTAAGAAACATGGGTAATACGGCGAACTTGCTCTTTAATTTAGCTAATGTTGTTTTTAATATTTCAATGTCAAGTAATTTTGTTCGGCTGTGTTGTCCAAAACGGAGATAAGATACATAATCGTACTAATACATTTAGATTTTTTTATTCTGAAACTGTTTTATACTGGAGTTTTCTGCTTTTCATGTTTTAATGTCGGGTTAATCTGTTTTTCATGTTTTAATGCCAGGTTAATCTGTTTTTCATGTTTTAATGTCAGGTTAATCTGTTTTTCATGCTTTAATAACAGGGTAATTGCACGTCTCACCGTTACTGTGTGATCTGAGACTACTATAACACAGAGATTGGTCACTTCCCGTACTGACCAGTCAAATAGTAATTAATTGTGAGTCTTCGATCACGTGACTCGGCACGTGACTCGCAATGATTGACAAGAAGGATTCGACCGCCATTTTTGACAGCGAAAGAGAAAATAATAATTAACAAATGTGGATTTATAAAGAGTGTTATGTTCCGGTAAGTGTGAATATAAGATTTGACATGTTCATAAATGTTGGTTTATAAGCACTTTAAATAAAATAAGTGCAGTTATAGACTTGAATTTACCGACCAAACCGGAAAGTAACCTCGAGTTATTACCAGTCCGTGGGACAGGGTCAATGAGCAACTCACCCATAACTTACATTCAGATGAACAATCTGTTTTCCGGATAATGTATGTGCAAGCCTTAGTATTTAACCGATGTAATGATGTAAAATTTGTAATTATATGAAATTCCAATTTTTCTGTATCTTTAAGTTCCCGCCGCAGAACTGAGAAACACACGAGACAAGTTGCACACACACAACATGAGGTCTGATAGGTGAATTTGTATTGTTAGTGAAAGAAATTTAGATTTATATTTGGTTCCCTTGATAATATATATGCAGTCTATACATGCTAGTATAATAATATTATGCAATGAAAATGTGTCACCATGTGAAATACCAGTACATCATGAGTTCCTAAATAGACGTATTTTTTTAAAATAATTGACCCGAGTCTCAAGTCTCAGATTACTGTCTTAAAAATTAATGAATTGCCTATGCTATAAACTTGACAAAGATTATTTCTTTTTATTCATAATATATTCTTTATTGTAGGAATACCCCCAGAAAGAAATCACGCATTAGAAGAAGGGAGAAGTACTACAGGAGAAAATGACTTTTTTTAGTATTTTTTTTAATTTCATTGAATTTGTCATGCTTGTCGTACATGGAGAAATAAATATTTAAGTCTTTGAATATACATTTTTATTATTATATAAATTAAAACTAAGACAGGAATGCAGAAATTCACTAACACGCTCAGTTTGGATAACAGTTCAATGAAAGAAAAAAAAAACAAGTAACCACACATCTTTATATATTAAAGGAATAGCCACTTGAAGCAAACTTTAAGGAGATTTTTATATATTTTTGCTAATGATCATCAGACAACTCCTTTAGTCCAAATGAAGTTCAATGAAGTGGATGTAAGTTATTAGAATGCACCGTAATTACCTTCAACAATGAGAAAACCTATACCGTGCAGTCAGCTTCAAAAGTCCCTGACATGGAAAATATATAACAATTCACTAGAGAAAACGAAGTGTCTACAATAACAAAGCAATTTACGAAAATTCAAATATGACGGACATGAACCAACAGCAACCACTGAATTACAGGCTCCTGACTTAAGACGGGCACATAAAGAATGTGACAATGTTAAATATTTTTAGCAGTTACCCAACAAAAAAATGTTATAGGGAACCTATTTACAAAGCATCATGCCGACAACAATTAACATGGTTTGTCACCAAACATTGAACAAGCACATTTATATTTGCCCTGGCTAAAAAAACTAAAGCAAATCACAACTCTTTTCATCTGAGTTGCTCAATTATTAGGGTTACAAAAAGCATAGCGATATAACTAAAACATACGACACTTTAACAATAGACAATATTCAAATTTTCCAAAAACTTTACGGCTCTGTATTGAAGCACAAAATTTCTTGTCTGGGATTTTGAAAGAGGGCACATATTTCTGGTGTTGAAAAAATGTCATCGTAATTTACACTAATGTGGTTCTATTTATGTAAACAGAGATAATTTGATTATTCAGTCACATAATTTTGAAGCTTCTTCGTTCTGATTTACATGTACTAGCGGTTGATGCTTCTTTTGGAGTTTTTGTAGTTTTTGCAGTCTTTGCAGCAGGGACGTATAGTCATCCTCAGATTCAATATCTGATGCAGTATATTCACCGCGTAAAAGATCAAGATTGAGATCATTATCATCCCAAGATAAAAAATCAATGTTACTGGACATTGTGAATTGAAAAATGAAAATGCCGGCGATATTTTGGGAACATGTATATAATTTGTAGGGCTTATGTTTGCTTTATGTATCCATTGCAGTTATAACCTCTTTGCTGATCTGTTACGTAAGGAAATTACTCCTTTACCTTTAAGGAAATTTTTTCTCTCTTCTGTGATCGCGGCTTATTACATTGTTTGCAAAAACTTGACCTAATTATCAGACGGAAATTTAAAAAAAGTGGGGGGGGGGGGGGGGGGGGGTTGAAACTTGTTTGAAAAAAAAATTTACGTTGGATAATCTGAATGAGGGTCTGGATGGGGGTTCTTTATTTCCTATAATTTCTATGCCATTTTTCTCTATTCTTTAAATCTTAATAACTTATTATTTTCTCTTCTCTATTCTTTATTTGTCGGTCCATTTTTCTCCATTCTATACTTTTTTTTGCCCCTATTTCTCCATTCTATAAAACCCCATCCACACCCTCCTGAATCCTACCACAAGTGCACCGACGATATTTGACAAGGTTTACTACAATAAACATGTATATTGGGCACTCAGCAGTGAAATACCTTACAAGTATAGAATAAAAGTTTACTGCAATAAACGGAGCCTCGTGTACCTTGGGCACCCAGCTGTGAAACAAAATTCATCTCCCATGCTTTTGAGACTACCTGTCTACAGGTAAAATATATGTATATTAGATACAATTAACGGACGTGTAGCAAAACAATGTAACTGTAAGATTGATAAGATTAATCACATTCACATTTTCAAGAGTGGCCGCATAATAACAAACTATTAACAAATTATTATTGATTAAAAACAAAAATTTAAATATGAATAGAGATAACTGCATTTGAAAGATAAAAACTATATTCTTTTTTTTTTTGATTGATTCAATTTTTTTTTAAATTATTTTTAAAAGAAAAATAATAATATCCGATACTGTTATAGTATTCTCAGTGATAGGTGATATATGTCGTCTGCTACGGTCGAATACGAAACTACGTTAAAATAACGTAGCTATCTACCGGAGACTCAGATAATCCGATAAATCTATAGTGACCAATCTCTGTGTTATAGTAGTCTCAGGTGTGATAAGACATTGGTTTAGGCCAGAAATGGCCAGAAATATTATCAAATACGTAGTTTATTTAATTCTATTTGGTAATAATTATAGAATCTGGAACTTGTCTTTGACATTTTGTTGAAGACTTATGAAGTGTAAGTACGGAGCAAAACATGAAAATGTATTTAACCGCTTAAAAGCATATTACTGTATGTGCCCGTCCTAAGTCAGCAGCCTTTTAAATTTTAATTCATTAGTTGTCTTTTGTTGCTGTATATCATACTTGTTTTTCATTTTATTGTTTTGCACGTAAATTAGCCTGTTCATTTCTCGTTCGTATTGTTTTATATTTGTCATTTCGGGACTTTTTATAGCTTGCTATGCAGTATGGGTTTTGTTCATTGTTGAAGGCCGTACGATGACCTATCATGGCTTGTTTACTTCTAGCGGATTATTTGGTCTTTGGTGGAGAGTTGTCTCATTGGCAATCATAGCACATCCTCTTAGTTTTATAATAACTATTTGTTTCATTCATGTACTCACCTGATTTTACTTCTTTATCAATATATTCAATTATTTTGTCTGACTCTACGATAATTTTCTCTCCGTCTTTTAAAACAGGGACTAGCCCATCAGAATTTATTCTCATGTAGTCAGGACTGTTCTGTTCACCAGTATGGAGGTTTACCAGCTTACGATTGAATCTGCAGTCTTTTTCAAAAAGTGCTAGTAGTACCTAAAGGACCATGAGTATATATACAGGTTATAACATGGCATTTTTCATATCAGACCCCTTATCAGCCCTAGGTCATGATATCAGCCAGAGAGCCGACAGGCTCGAGGGATGATTTTGACCATGGGCTGATAAGGGGTCTGATATGAAAAATGACATGTTATGTTCTTTTTATCATATACTTCAGCAGAAGCCATACAGACTTTTTGAAACTTTATAAAATTGATTTAATGTATTATATTTTTTTTTTGCATTTTTTAATAATATATTTTCCTGTTTCCTACTATTCGTTTTCCTACTATTTGTTATGTTTTTCACTAAAATGTACCACTGAGCGATATTAACCGGAAGTAGTTGATATAAACCGGAAGCAGTTGATAACGAAAGTCATATCATACGGCTAAGACAATTCTTCAAATTTAATGAATATATGTACAAATTAGTTTTATCAAGGGGTACAATTATACCATTATTTTGTATAAGTATATGATAAACACATATATAAGTATATAAACAAATACAACAAAACGTGATTAACATAATTTTTATCTTGGATACCCCGTCTTTTTATTTCAGATTGGTCTGTTGCATCGTAAACTGATCAAACCCAACGCTGCCAGGGATATCGTTTAATGTTTCATAAAGAGTAGTGGTTTCAAGCGAGGTCGTAGAGGGCGTGCACCCCCAAAAGGCGCCCTAACCTCAAAACCTGGATCTGCCCCTGATCTAGACTTCTCCTCAAATCCGCCAGTTAGTCGCGCGAGTCCGTTTGAAAGTGCTGGCACGTTCAGTCGATAAATCCCAAGCCCTGTGTAGAAATAAGGCAACAACTTTGAAAGTATTTGCCTAGATGTTAAGGAAAGCAACATTTTATCAACTTTTTGTAACAGAAGAAGCAAAATCGAAACTCTATGGCAAGCTTAGTGGTATTTTCTGCAGAGTTTAGGGTTTTAAAAACTAATAAGTTTAAGTTAATTTGCATATTAAAATCTCTAACAAATGTGTTACATATTTGTCGACTCAGTTATAAGAATTTCGAAATATTTACTTTAGTTTTTATGTACACCCTTAACCTTATTGATTTGTGATAACACACTTCTGCCTTAACATATTAAAAATGAGCTGCTATGATTGTCAACATAATATTCAGTTCTAGATATAAGTTTTAAGTAGGAATCAAGGTATGAACGTGTTGGGGGTTGTAAATCACCCACTGTTGGTTGGAAATACAAGTTATTCATATTTACCTTTTGTGAGCAGAATGATGAATAATAATAATAGAGCGTGAAGCGACTGGTCGACATCTTCTTAAATTATCCTTCGGCAGGTCATCAGTTTATATCAAATAAAATGTCGGCTATCATTTAGATAAATATAGATTTTTTTCACCATTTGTCTACAGGTACTCACTAAATTGTGGCAGTAAAAGGTATGTTGGCTACAATAAACAAATAGGGATATGAAGACAAATTGTCAAACAATGTGACAGACGTTATAGCCATGTCGAGCTCATATTGACCGTTCGTTAGGATAAATAATTGAAGTTAATTGTTTTTGTTGTATTTTGTTTTGTGTTTGTCTGTTTTAAACTTTGAAAACGGAGACTGATTGGTCAAAAAATATTTTAATTATATTATTGTCAGCTATATGACTAAGACCAAACTTTCTCCGGTTATACAACATCTTCACAAAGTTATATAACATTGTACAGCATAGTGCCAGAAATGATTCAAATTTTTTTATGGACGCCTAAAAGAACTAAAATGTTAATTGAACTTTGAATAAAAACTAACCTTACTTTTAATATTTTGTTATGCCACCCTTCTGAACTAGAACTTTACATCTTTCACTGTGTTTCGCGGTGAGAAAAAGTTTTCCACATTATAATCTGACCAACAAAGAGGAAACTGATGATTTGTTAGACATGTCTGTATGTTGAATACCTGCAGATGTTTACCAGTTCCCATTCATATTGTTTTTATTTATTAATAATACTTTAACAAAGCGATGTAATGTACTTAGCTTATTTTAATTTCTTCCGTAAGAATACCGTAGCATTTTATTTGTTTACTTTTGCTAGATAGCAAAATACATTGATTCTTTTTTCACACCCTTTTACTTTGCTATCGGTAATACATATACATTGAATTATTAAACAATGTATGGTTTGGCTATCGTGTACAGCAAAATTTGTCTGCGACGGTTTCCGATTGCCTTTATAGTACGATGCATTTCGCAATCGTGTACAACAGACTTTGATCTGTGTTACATTTTTTGTACCTATTGCATCTGCCGTACCTATGGTCGGTAATTGAGTGTGTTATTTGTCGTTGAAACTTTTTAAAATGTATATTTGCATCTTTTAATCCATTAAGTGCACCTACAATAACGTCTGTGACGACGTCGTCGACTTCAATTGTTACTAACACGACCGTGACTTCAAGAATTCATTTCCAGTTTAACAATGTAGGTTTCAAGTATGGCGAGTGAATATCGGAATCATTCTGAATACATAATAAGTTTGCTGAGGGAAAATGAGCGACTTCTGAAGGAAAATTCATTTTTGAAAAACTATTTGGTAACGGTGAAAAATAACGCAACTTTAAAAACTGCAAATGTTCTCACTGCTGTTTTAACTTGGACCGATGACAGCCTCTGTAGAAAGTTTGAAGGCAAGTACAATGTATATAATATACTATACTACTGACAAAAAAAAACCTCGACGTGTCATACTGATAATAAACATTTAACACAAAATAACATAAAATGAAGAAGAAAAAAAACATTTTATATGATAAATCAAATTTCTCTAAACGTTATAAAAAAGAGTGTCGAAAAAATAAAATAGTCATTACAATTTATTTTAAAAAGTGTTTGTTTAAATAAGAATAAAACAATTATGTGATCTCATATAAATGATATGAAGTTTGATAATGAAATGCCATACATTTTCATCCTCATCTTATATCAGAATGTGTAAACTGGGTCCTTGATTGGTTAAGTGATTGGTTAATGCATAAATTATAAAGATCAATGACAAATATTACATGAAAAGTCAGTACAACAAGTTAATTGTATGTGAATATAACTCTGATTTGTTCTTAACCGATATGTCTTTGAATTATTAATGTGCTAGCAGATAGACCGCAAGAAAGATGTGTCATCATACGAAAATACCTAGCTGATGAGCACGCTCTTGTGTCTTACTCAAATTATTGCATACTTCCAGGAAAGTCTTTGGTTGGACTACAACGGTATAAAGCCACCAAATCACGCCCTCTTGGCAAGTACAATACAACGAAACCTCCGAGGCGATTGGGTGTCTTTGGCACAGGTCGATTTTGCGTGGCTAAATTATCAGCGTGAGCACTAGATTCGTCGCTATTTAATCATTATTTTGTTTGCTTATAACTCCTGACATAATCATTTTTATCGAAACCTAGTTATTACCAGAAATTTATTCCGGCCTAGTAATGGAGTTTATTTACTAGCATTATATATCAAGTATATTCATTTTAGATGCATTTTCAAGATTTGGTCAAGAAACGAAAGAAACGTGCTGTACATGTTCGCAAAGTTATTACGAACAAACTTCAGCTCCCGGTGTCACGGTAACAGACACAGTTGCCTATCAAAATGAACCAACACCACAAAAAAGTCAATATATTAATCAACTACAAGTACCGGTTCAGAACCAAAAGATAAAACCTCAATCGCCTTTTCGTCCACAGCAACAAAATTCATCTGTCGATCGTCGAAACAGACCTCCATTTCCAGCTGATTCACAATTTGGTTCGTCAGAAAATACATTTAGACCCATTTCGCCAGCTAGACCAGAACAGACAAATTTGATAAACATTTCAGCCGGGTATCAAACAGCGGAATCATTCCCTCAAAAGCAATATTACAATACTATGAATCAATTAGGTCAACAGTCCGTTGATGATACCGATGCTATATTTTTACCGCAGCAACAAAATCCACAACCAAGGGCTTCTTCCATGCCAACTAAACTACTATCTCCACATATGGATCAGAATGTTAGACAAAGATCCCCAGTTGTACAAGGAATACCAGTAGCTGAACCATTCGTTGCTACAATGCCAACAAAACAGTTACCCTCTGGACAAAGATCCCCGATGCCGCAAGGCGTACCTTCATTTGGCGGCAGTAATACTCTGAATCAGCAATCTTATAACAGAGAACAGCCTATCAGAAATGATCAATCTCTGCAGATTGACCAGTCATCTATTAATCCGCGTATTCAAGTAAACATGCCATCCCCAAACATATCAGCAGTCAACCAATATGAGGAATGGAATAGTTTGATCTACCAACCACCAGAAATGATATCAAATTATCAGGGAATGAAAGCAGATCAAACAGGTTTCAGTAATCGGAGGACTGGAAGCGAAGGTTATGGAACTCACATTGAAACTGATGCTGCTGATTCTATCCGTAGCGATTGGAGGACTAGACTCGGAGAACCAGTGGCTGCATCTACACCTATCAAAGGCGGAAGGAGTACACAGTATGAATATCAAGGTATGTGTGTATGATTCACGGTTGAAGGTGTGACAGCACTATATAAGATTATCCGAATTCCCAGCAAATGTTGATATAAAGAGCAACAAAATAAACGCTGTTCCTTTATTTGCATGCATGGTTATTTTCCGATATTTTATGGGATTTTCTTGTCTCTTGTCTCTTGTCTCTTCTTGTGCTTAGAAATGTTTATATATATATTTTTTTAAATTTTTAAAGTCATATTATCCCCTGATCCCTATATATAAGTCCGACCACATCTGGTATCTTGCAGAAATTTTTGTTAGATAAAAATTCTTGAGATGAAGATGACCAATAAAAGCGCCGTTCCTTTGCTTTTTGTGTGTGTGTGTGTGTGTTGGTTTTTTGTCGTTGATTGGTATGTCAATATTCTTCCTTGTCCATACAGAACGTAAAACATGTTTGTGTGCTATATATGAGGGACTGGGTGGGGTTTACAGAATAGAGAATAATGGCCACATTAAATATATATAATAAAAAAGAAAAATGCTTTAAAAATATTGTAAGAATACAGAAATTACGGATCCCCCCGTCTATACCATATATTCGCTGATGCAGTGCAACATCAGTTCAAAATGGTGACGTTTTCGTAAGGTATAAAGATGTTTTTGTTATTTGTAAGATTTGCCATACACTGAAGGAGTTGGTCGCACGAATGATGGTCATTATTATCCGTAATATATGCAATAACCTAAAATTAGTATTACCAGTACAATAAATGTATAGAATGTAGAAGTAGTAGTAGTATATAATAGTTAATAGATGCATGAATTTTTTTTCGGCAATCATACCACATCTTCTTATCTTTATAATACACTAATCTTTAATTTGTTTGTTTAGATAATACAATTCAGAGCATGAAGCCACCACCAAAAGTACCAAAGCAGAGTATCCAAACAGGTGGGTACAACATTTTCTTATTTTGATATTGTTAAAAGAATAGAATGAATTCAAGATAAGTGATAGAACGCTGACAAGAAGCTGAGATGGAACGATATTTGGTTTTTACGCGCGCTTAGTTTAGGTAGCCAATACAAGTCATAGTAAGGACATTCGAATGCTAAAAGGAGGCATAAAGATGGAATGTGGTAATGGTTTGATTAGCCACTATTTGACTCTATATTGAGCACGCATCTTTGAATGATGCACGTAATGAAATAATTTAACAAAGTCTGTTATGAGTCTGAAATCAATAAACGGTCTCTCAAGTACAAAAAAAATATTGACAAAATAACTACAGACAACCTCTTACGAGGTTCCTTACTTTGGACAAGAACATTAGCGCAGTTTTAAAGAATGATCGCATGTCAGACTCAGTGCGTTTGTACGCGTTAGCTCGTTCGTACAATATATCATTAATTCACATCTGGCTGCTGAATAGATCTTCTGTTTATTTATAGTTTTAATTTTTATCATATTGGGGGGGGGGGGGGGGGGGTTCCGGGGGTTGGAACCCCTCCTTTTTTTTGGCGATCAATGCATTTGAATGGGGACATGTACATGTAGTTGGAACCCCCCTTTATCCTGGGTTAGGAACCCCCTTTTATAAATGGCTGGATCCGCCCCTGCTACTCGACACTGACTGTTAAATCATACTTCCGGTAAGTTTACTATAATTGTACTATATTTCTCACACCTCACTCCTATTATTTTTACTTCGAATTCATTTTTTTGCTATAGGTTGTATTCTTCTGTTAAGAATTGTTTTTTCCTTAATCTGCTTTAAATGGAAAGTGTTGTAGATCCCTCTACAGAAATGTTTTATTGTCTAATTAAAATTTTGGGCAAAACATACAGAAAAAAAAGAAACAGATGCATTGTATTTTCAGGCGTTTCCGTGTTGCACCGGCCAGTAGACCAGGTCATTGGCCTGAAACCAGCTTACACAGACCAACACCGTCTACGAGTTTTAAGAATCCGACCGAATAAACGTATTATTGGAGAAGTAGCATTTCAGTTGGATAGAAGAATTTTGGAGTATGTTTTTACATGGAAGTACACACCAGATAGTTCACAAGACAAAAGGCGTCGTTTCTATGGTTACACTATAAGCAACATGGGTGCTATGATACGAAAGGAAGCTACTGATAGAACTGGACAATTTAATGCTAAAAAAGAATTAGAGATGCGGTACCGGTTTGATTACGTAATCAAGGCACTATCCAAGTATGGTTATGCTTTAGAAAAACATTCTATCTTAACGCAAGATTTGGTCAATCGGTATGGACTTTTAAGTGGACCACCAGACCGCAAGACCGCAAGCGAAATTGGATTGGACGACCCCGTTATTCTTCGCGTTCTTCTGGGCCAGATGATAAAAGATGACAATCTCCTACAGGAAGTACTGATTTTACTTGATTGTCTCTGTTTGTTGGCACATGAAGATAAGAGAACTATATTCCTTTACTGATGTTGTGTCCTAGTAATCAATAAATTAAAAAAGCTTCGTCGTCTTTGTATATAGATCAGATAGTAACTGAGAGCTAAAAACAGTCATCTTGTTATTCATTTTTTTCAAATAGTTTTTATGAATGTTAAAATTCAATAGTTTCACAATATTTGCATATGATCAAAACAAATGTGAAAATGATAAAATTCTTAAACACAATTTCTTTGCATCAACATACTTGCTCGTATCCATATGATATTACAGTAACAATAGTTTATATATATACTTGTATATAAATGAAGAGATGATATAATTGCCAATGATACAACTATTCGTCACACTTAAAACGACTAGTATGTATTTTAGGGCAGCATATATAAACTATACTGTCATTGTAATGTTGTATTGGTAAGAGCAAGAATACATTAAAATAGGTTAAAATATTAAAAAAATATTTATTGAATAAAATCAAACATCTCAATGAGGAAAAGTAAAAGGGGATACATGTCCACAGCGCCTGTGACTTTTGGAAAACAAGGCCCATTTTAAGGAACACGTAGGTAAAAGAGCTATAACCAGGACCATGTTTAATCACATTATCACTTCACGAAATAGTAGAACATTCTTGCAATCATCCACATTGTCCTCAGATTTGAAACTTGCACTCTCTTATGCATTATTGAGCTTTTATCAGGTCATAGTGCGGAAACAGGTTAAAAAATTATTCACTACCAACCCGCAAATTGTAAGAAAAGTTGTTTTGTCAGGAAAAATTATATTTGTGTGAATATAGGTATTCCGAAAAGTTATGTCTTTCGGATTAAAACTGAAGTGAACATATCAACTTATTTCATAAATTTTTATTCATTGAAATGTTTTACATTTTTTAACAGGTAGGGAACACTACCTTATATGGATATGCATAAATTAGTATACTAATGTCCTCGCAAATATTATACAATTACTGTCTTTTGATGAGGTAAATATGTGGTTTTATTGACTTTTGAAAAAACTGATATTCACTGAGGCCAGCGGCCGAAGTGAATATCAGTTTTTCAAAAGTCAATTAAACCACATATTTACCGAAACAAAAAACAGTAATTGTTTTATTCCATATTCCCAGAGAGTACCAAGAGAAATGTATATAATGACAATTATTTACCAAAACCAATTGTACATCAAACGATTTTAACATAACGTAAAAGCACGCGACGTTTTGCGCGGTGAATATACTTTTTCCGCAGGTGAATATGCTTATTTATTCAAAATCCAATTCATATAGAAAAACCTACTTAGTTTCTATCAATATGGAATAAAATTACGTATGACGCTTTTTTTTTACCTGGGTTTTTTTTACCAATCCAATAAATGGGTAACAATGCATGATGGACTACTACGTGTTTACGATCAACCGAAAACACGTGTTATTTGACTGCAATACAACACATTTTTTTCATACATTGCGGGATAAACAATTTTGCTTAGTTTTTTCAACTTTTTTATCTACATTTATAGTTCGTGATATAAAGTATTCGTTTCATGCTCAGATTAACGAATAGTTGTTTCTATGCGAAGAAACGAGTGCTTGAATTACCCGAAATATAGCCATTGAAAAAGCTCAAATGATTTTATTACTGGACATTGGTCATTGGAAATTTCACTATTTTACGTGAAATTGATGCATAGACACAATGCATAACAATGGAAAAACCTGTTCAACTACTATTACAAGGCGAAAAAGAAAGTCGAATCGTGTAACCAATAAACAATATTTTTTTTAATCTGAGCATGCAAATTGAAGATTATGTTATTTAATGAATGGCTATTATTTATTTTGAATTTATTGAACCATAAAATTAATTTTTGATTCTTCACATTGAATAATCCGCGAATTATGTAAAATGTGAAGAGTCAAAAATTAATTTTATGGTTCAATAAATTCAAAATAAATTATTGTCATTCAATATAAATAAATTTCTATCAAAAATAAGGCTCATGGAGCTTTTTATATTATTTATATTAACAATAACAACGTACACACATGTTGGCGTATGAATACACAACGTCAGAGTGGGCTTGTCGCCATAAAAATTGACAACATTGAAAATAAAGGTAATACTTTTAACCAATCAGAAGACAGTAAATACACCAAATTTATATATATATATATATATATATATTACATTTAAGGGCATACGATACAGTTTTGATCCCACGGTGATTTTTTTACGAAAATTTGCATACAAGCTATTTTTCACCTAATCAATTCAAATATATAATAAAAAATATACCTTCATGTGCTACTTTAAGAGATAAATGGGGTCGAAATTTTACACATTTACTAAAAATTTCGTTTTTTTTGGACATTTCTCTCCTTTGGATAGACATACCTAACTTTTTTGTTTCAAAAGATAAACACGAGCGGATTTTTTATAAATATTTGCAAATCTTCTTTACATAAGTATGCTCTAAATTTGTATAACAATTCTTTGTAAATAATTAATGTTTATCAAAGTTTCGTGATTTTAGAAAAAAAACGGCATTTTTTGCTGTATATATTTATCTAATCTTTAAAAAATTTCATCGGTGACATTTTCGTAAAAATTGGTACAAATAATCTTCATACGTAATTAAACCTAATGTCATTTTAAAAAAGAGGGGTCCATGAACTCGTTTTCAAGTTAAATCAGTCTGAATGATAAAAATGAGTCGAAAAAAAACCCCATCTTTTCCCAATATGTCACAGTTTGACGTTGCGAAAAATAACATTTTACGTTGTTAACGTCATTACCTCCCCTGCAACTGTATCGTATGCCCTTTAAATACATTGGCTGAACAAAAATATTTATCATGCGAGTCCCAGACACTTTATAAGTTGAATTTTTTTCACTAATTCCACGTGTTTTACGTAGTGCATGTAGTAGTAAACTCGTAGTAGCCCACAATGCATTGTAGTTCATTGAATCGATTGGTCAGTTTTTCAAAGCCATGTTTACCTTCTATTTGGGAAATTACTTTGCAAATATATACTGACGTCAGGAAATCTAGAGTTCCTGACCTGTTTAACATTAATATATAACAGGTAATATGATCATTATACACTCTGTGCGGTCTTCTCGATTTATTTTGTTTGATATTTCCGTCAAATAAGTCACCCGGTTTTTACCCTAGTGACATAGACTTATGACACTTATTAAACATCCAAATATGTTAGGACTTCATGTGTTAGTTGGCTCAGTGTATATTGTTCAAATTTATATATTTTTTCTTCGCATTATTTCCAGGCTATGTTTGATGTTCATAACATACTCACCAGTGTCATACGAAATGAGATATGAATGATAATGTTCACTGATTCGTTTACTCAGTGCTGATCTAAATATAAATTAAATGGAAACGGAAATAAAAATATCCCAAAATAAGAAGTCAACTTAAAAAACCGATCTTTCAATATCTAACGTTCATTAATGATACTGAGAAGCACAACAATGAACATACCGTTTGCATCTCAGGTTTGCATGGTGTAAAAAAAGTAAAAGTGGTGTCCGTTACAGTGTTCTACATTTGGCAGTGGTATTGTTGTAAATTGTACAGACCTCATAAACGACTTCCGGCAACATTTCTGATTATGTCCCTTGAACAGGTCAACTATTGTTTACTGAAGATTGACACTTAGTTATCGGGTATGTTAAATATGCGATATATGTAGCATGAATACAAAATGCATATTGTAGTAAACATTATATCCACGTTGTTATAAAATGTGCTACCCATGCAGTTTATTTTCGGTTCCAAAATTAGTACAATACAAAAATATGGGCGTTTCAAGTCCTGTCAAGCGAAAATGTATCCACCGGCACTGCTTTGTCCATTGATATCCCGTATTCAATCAGTTTGGGTAAATTAATCACTACTGATTAGTTGAGATATTTTTCTATTTAAAGTGATGACTCCCTGAACTGTTGAACATCACCCCACGTTTACAACATCCCGATTATTGATCGTCATGTGCTTTTAAATTCTTTGAATATCTATAAATAGAAACTTTTCATTTATATTTTGACTAGAGAAAACAACATAATATAGCATAAATCACTGACAGTTTCAGGTATGCCATATAAATCTAGTATATCTTTTTTTTCAGAATATTTATATCCTTGAGGTGTACTGTACCAATATTAATTCACTAGAAATAATAGTCTGTCCATTGGTCTGTCTTTCCTGTGTTTCTGTTGACATTCTAAAAAAATCAGGATAGGTACATGTAGGTATTTAGGCAAATGATATTATTTACTAAAGTTTTTGAATGGTTTAAATAGGAGAAACAGTCTGACATTAATAGTGTACTTTTAAAAAATGACAAGAAAATCTTTTAGGATAGGCATAAAAAATAAGTGTATGTCAGTGTATAAGGTAAAGGGTTAGCAGAAACACAGGTATTTTTTTCGGCCTTGTGCTCTTGCACCACTTTCCAGGTTAGGGAGAGAGTTGAGTGTTCAAATATATTTGTACATGTATAATAAAAATGAGAATGGAAATGGGGAATGTGTCAAAGAGACAACAACCTGACCAAATAGCAGAAAACAGCCGAAGGCCACCAATGGGTCTTCAACACAGCGAGAAAATCCAGCACCCGGAGGCAGGCTTCAGTTGGCCCCTAAACAAAATGTGTACTATTTCAATGAAAATGGACGTCACACTAAACACCGAAACATATAAATGAACTAAAATAAAAAAAACATACAAGACTAACAAACGCCAGAGGCTCCTAACTTGGGACAGGCGCAAAAATGCGGCGGGGTTAAACATATTTTATGAGATCTCAACCCTCCCTCTATATAACCCCACCACAGTCTTTGTGTGTTTGTCCCAAGTCAGGAGCCTGTAATTCAGTCGTTGATTGTTGTATTTTTTGTTTATATGCATTAATTAGGTTTTTCTTTTGAATTGTTTTACATTTTGTCATTCCCAGGCTTTTTAAAGATTACTATACAGTATTGGCTTTGCTCATTGTTGAAGGCCATACCGTGACCAATAATTGTTTACATCCTTGCCATTTGCTGAATAGAGTTTTCTCATAAACAATCATACCACATCTCCTTATTTGTAGCTCACCTGTTACCAAGGGCCCTTTTGACATGTTTGACCTATTGTCATCACTTGGGGATTGTCTTTGTCCGTTATCTTTACATAAATCTTTTCTGAAACTACTGGGTCATTTCAATTTATAAAACCAAACTTATAGGAGTTATTGCACTTAAATGACGATTTTTGTCATTTTCACCTACACATATTATTTTGAAAACTGTAATACACAAATGTAGATAGTGAAAAAAATTTCCTTTCTTATATTCCAAAAATTATCAGCAAGACAAGATCTACTATTTTTACCTCTTATCAAAAATTAAAAACTAATAAATATTTCAAATAGGCCGAAATTGTCAGTCCGCTATATATAGATACTTATAGAAGATATTGCCTGTTATTGATGATTTTTACCCATTTTTGCATTTTTGGTGAAACTACAAAGTATATAGAACATGGTAGATAAAGAAAATTGTAAACATCAAAAATGATCAGCAAAACAAAATCTATGAAAAGGTAAACATAGCCAAAATTGACACTGAACTTCTTATAGGATTTATTGCCCTTACATGTATGTAATGATTTTTACCCTTTTTAATGTTTTGGACTAAAACTAATTGATTGGAAATAGTACATGTAACTGAAAACAGTGAAATTGATCAGCAATAAAAGATCAACAAAATAACAGCTTTTATTCATGCATTCATGATTGAATTCTGTCCACAATGTTTGAGAGTGGAGATTGATGAGGGTGCACATATCTTCAAGTACATGACACAGGCTCTTTAAAACCTCTAGTTATAAAAGTAAATCAAATCAGAAAGTCATGCCAAGTCTTTCAGTCAATTTTTATACATATCCAAATGACCATTGTGGTAATTGTCCTGTTCAGACACTTCACTTGGGTTCAATATAAAATTATATAGATCTGTCTAGTCTATTATAAGTTTGGTCAGTAGCTTTTAGTTAACTTTTTAACTACCCAAAATAAAAAATGCATGTATAAGTACTGATTTGTTTAAAAAGTTGATTTACCATAAGAAAATGTCTTGAAAAAACTTTTTTACATAAAAAATGTATGGTTAGACAATAACATTTCAGTTAATGGTAAGATGAAATGGCTGTTTGACACACAATTTCTTGTATTAGTAATAGTGTAGGGAGACTCAGAAAGTTGCACTTGTCATAAAAACAATCTTGTAACCAACTCTTTTTATTGACTTTTATAGTTTAGTATGTTTAGCACTAGTACTGTATACGTAACTGATGTTTATTTGCTACTTCTCCACTGCAGCATTTAGGAGAAATAGCATAGACTGTTCAACTCTGAGTCAGAATAATGTGTCTGGGTAGGGTGACATGTCTTCCTGTAGACTGTTACCTTTTGAACTAGTACATTAAAAATATGGCTCTGCGCGCCGTGTTGGTCTAGTTCAAAGCAGGGTTTGTATTCATATCATATTATCATGTTCTGGTCCTGAATATGCATTTAATTTGCCACTTGATGTTAAACAAGTATCCATCCATCCATCTAAACTAGATACATAATAATAAATGAGTCCCCTCTGCCCCTTTCTCTATTCATTGTTTTTCTTTAAGGTCATGGTACAGTACACACAGAGTGGACATATTCTCATACTCCCAACACTGATTCTGGTGTAACACAGTGTCACACTGTGAAACACAGATTTCTCTCCCAAAATACTCCCAGTAATTACTCCCATCTGTGAGGATTTTATGACCTGTTGATTGCAGGTAAAAGTAATAAAAATCAACAAAGCATGACTGTATGGTCTGACAGTGACATGTAATTACAGGTCAACTATTCCTATTTCAATTATTTCCTATTAAGTTTTATTTCTGAAAGATATAAAAAGGTAATGAAATGATTTTTAAAATTTTTATACAAAATATGTATTTTATTAATATTTGTTTTTGTTTATCTTGTTAGGTTGGAAAATTATTTACATTCTTTCAAAATCAAGAATGGCAACTTGATATTTATAATAAGTTGTATTATTGTCGGTTTAAAAAATAATAGTAATGATAAAAACAAATAATAATGAATAAAATAAAATTATATATACAGCTTCCCTTAATTTTTATTATTTAAATTTTCGAAAAAGTTTGAATATATTCAGTGAAACATACGTGTCTGAATTTCTTATAATTATACTCCACTTACATGTGATATTTTGCTTTGTTTCTATCTAAATTTAATGTATATAAAAAGAGAATGTAGGACAGCAAGTCAGAGGACAAAAAGTCAAGGACAAAAAGTCACGGACAAAAAGTCACAGGACAAAAAGTCACAATTCAGTTTTGAGATTATTTTTCTTTGAACAAGAAAAAACTAATTTAAAACGAAATATTTTGGTTTTTTTCTTAAACTATTATTTATAAAGCAACTTTGTAATTAAAATTTATGCAATAAATATTAATAATGATCAAATAATTGCTGTGAAAACAAAATGTCAAAGAGGCTTGATCCTTAAATGGCTTCATGGTGCCAAGAAATATATCCTTTGCACGATTAAAATTTAATAAATTTCCATTTGTCAAGGCTTATGAACAATTTCCTAAAATTAAAAATGAATATATGTTATAATAAGAAAATATTTCAAGATCTTTCTCTTATATATTCAAACAACTGTCAACAAACTATTTGTGACTTTTTGTCCTGTGACTTTTTGTCCTATCAAATTTGTGACTTTATGTCCTGTGACTTTTTGTCCTGTGACTTTCTGTCCGTTTACCTAAAAAGAATATTATGCTGATTTAATTATGTTATTTAGGTATGAAAACCAACACTGTATATAATTTTAACATGTTTAATAAATAAAGTCATTCAGGATTCTATAATTAAATCAGAGACATATATAATTATATGTCTCTGATTAAATTTAACAAATCTCACGCTTTTCTTCATTATTGTTTATATCAAGAAATGTTTATTGTAGTCAACAACTACTGGCACACTTCAAAGGTAATTATGGCAATAAAATCATGGTGTTGGGAGAAAAGACACCAAGGTAATAAACAATTCAGGGATTAAACAGAGGAATTACTCCAAGTTTCTCCCAATTCCCTCCCAAGATTTAGAGAGTTTGCTGAAGTTTTTCGGTGTGACACCAAGTTTTTACACAGTGTTTGGAGTATGAGAATCAGTGCTCTCTGTGTACTGTACAGTCTGTTTTTTCCTTCGTCTTATGAATTTCTATTGCCCAATGGTATCACAGGAGCAATCTGAGCTGATTTATAGATAACTCTATCGTAATTATAGGATTTTCACAAGACTTGGACAATTTGTAATAGTATGGTGCTGTCTGTCTATAAAATGTTATTCATAAGAACAGTTTTGTGATTTTCAAATAAAATGGAAGACAGATGTTTTTATTTTGTTTGAGTTGTTGCATGCATTTGTATAACATGCAGATTTTTGCAAGCAACAATCATACAAAAACCTAGTTCAAGATTGCTCTGACGCACAGCAAGTCCTTTAATAGTCCCTTAGACATCAGAGCAATCCTGGATTAACTCTGTCTTTTAAAAATCAGCAAATTTTCCCATTGTATGGCATTGAGATTTATTGGTCTTA